TTGGCCTGGTTTTGACTATAACTTCAGTAAACCAGCCTGCATCAAAGAAACCTCCAGGAGCAAGAACAAGTGGCTTTGATGGATTGCCTTGGTAGATAGTGTCAACTAGTGATTTCAGTGCAATCACATCTGCAGCATATTGGTCAGCCCCAACTTTTGTTCCAACTCCACTGCCACTGAGTTCATTTCCTGCAAGGACAGTACAAATCTTCCCCAAAATCAACTTGGTTGAATTGCATGAAGAATTTTTGTACTTCTAACTAATAAAGATTCTTTTGCTAAAAGAAAGCAGAAATGGAAGGGCAGGTAGAACAAGAATTCTCATCCTGTTCTTTATTTGGTAGGTTTGGTAACCTGAACATTAAACTAAACAGATGTTGACAGCATGCGTCAGAACTGAGAAATCAGCTTTGTTTCTGACCAAAAAGCACCCAGAGATAGCACATTTCGAGGCACGGTCGATTCGATTTGCAAGATGATTTGAACTTACCAAGCTCCCATCCATGAATTTTGTAACCCTTGCTCGCGGTGTAACGAATCAGCGATGCAGCATTGGTGTAATCCCATGGCCCTCCCATCGACCCATCCGGCAACGGAACCCGGCCGTTGAGAGCGTTCAGCCCGAACACGATTCTCGCGCTGCGAATTTGAGCAAATTTCGTCGAATTCTCGTGCTAAAAAAAAAAAAGATACAGTACAACTTCCTTTTCAGATTCAGAGGCTAGACAATTTGGGATTACCCGGATTTTTGGAAGAAGGCGTTGAGCTCGTCCCACCGGTGGAGAGGCAGGCATCCCTGCGTGAAGCCGAACATCTCCGACGTGTTCTTGACGAACGGCGCGCACGGCCCTCCGCCGTCGCCGGTGCCGTACACCAGCTTGTCCTGCAGCGACCCGCCCAGCCGCAGCTTCAACGGCGAGAAGGCTGCCAAAAAAAAAAAAAACAAGGTAAACTCCGATCACGTCGCCGGAGAAGAAGCACGAGCACGAGAGCTACTGCTGCACACTACCTCGAATGGCATTGAGCAAGATTTTGTTGGAGAGATCCTGCAAATGCAAAGCTCGTGTGAGTTTGGATTAATTTCACCGGAGGAGGAGGAGGAGAGAAAAATTTGGAGAGAATTTGGAGCGAGAAATTCTCGACCAGGTTGAGGAGGGAGGCGAGGCCCCAGCTGCAGGTGCCGTAGTCGCACTTGTCCGGCGGCCACCAGTCCATCGTCGCGCACACGAAGTCCTCGTCGGTGGCGGCAATGGCGCGCCGCCCGTCAACGCCGGCGACCCCGACCACGGCCTCCGCGGCGCCGCCCAGCCGCAGCAGAGCCAAGAAGCATAGCCCACCAAGAAACCGCCTCATCTCCATCCCGGCAAAGCAAGCAAGCAGCAACAATGGCGGAATGCCTCGCCGACGACGAGCCTACCCTACCCTACCCTACCCGGCTAGACCTGAGGTGGGCAGGTGGGCAATGGCGCTTTCTGCCGGCCACCTCCACCTCCACCTACACCATGGCTGCCTAAATACTAAATGGGAAAACGCCAAGGGCGACGCATCGAGTCAGAGCAGCAGCAGCAGGAGGAGGAAGAAGATAAGGGCGGTGGTGGTGGGGAGTAGAATGCTTCAGCTTCTTTAATTTCTCCTCCATTTTTCTTTTCCCTTTTCACCGCCATTCTTGATCTCGAGCTCCATCACCTTCCATGCACGATGACGCGGTAAGCCCGGGCAAAAGAAAGATAGAAAAAAGAACAGTTCGTTTTCTGTTCGCTAGCAGTTAGAGCGGTTAATTTTGGTCAGGTTTTGACCGGGGAGAGGTTAAATTTCGGCAAGCAGTAACACTGTACTCCCTTCGTCCCACATAGACTCTATTTTTCGGTTTCTGTCTCAAACGTTTGACCGTTCGTCTTATTTAAAAAAATTACAAAAATTGTTTTACAAAATAGTCATGCATAAATTACTATTCATGCTTTATCATCTAACAATAATAAAAATATTAATCATAAAAAGTTTTTAAATAAGACGAATAGTCGTATCAAAAATTGAAAAATAGATTCTTTGTGGGACGGAGGGAGTGATTAACAGTGCAGTGCAGTACTGAGCAGTGGAAGACAAAGGGGAGCATGCAATGGTACTAAAAACACCAAAAAGGTTTTCTAGGAATCCAACGTGCTGTCTAGCCTGGTACATTTGCATTCTTGGATGATTGATCGATCATTCATACTTGCCGGCTGCAGTGGTTCGGTCTGATTGGAGATTTCTGATCTCTAGGAGAAAATCGACAAGAGGACGGTTTTGGTTTTGGATGCATTCTTATTTGTAATAAGTGGGTGTGTAAATTACAATACGAGTAGTGGGTGTTAGAAGTACAAATATGTTAGTTAGAGATAAAAGTCAAATACAAATATAAATATAGAGATAAGATATATTCTAGAGATAGAATCCTAGAGATAGTATGCTAGAGATAAATCTACTCTTATACTTGTATTGTACTCCAAGTCTTTGTCCCCTATTTACTTCTATGTATACCTTATGAGAGTGTAATAGATTAGAAAACAATTAGAATACAACAATTAGATTTTTCCACAGTGGGACGAGTCATGGTTGAAACCTTAAACTCACTCTAGACCGGTAAGTTGGTAAAAGAAATTCTGAGCATAAAATTTAGGGATTCTAAAGGATAACTTGGTTTTGGTTATGGGTTTATCGAGAAGCGTTAAGTACATCATGCAAGTAAGATTTTAAAACCCACGTAAACCATGTTGGAACGGAGATTTCCGTCATGAATTTAACTTGAGAGGAAAAGTACAGATCCCCTCAAAATATTTGGGATCCTAAGTTTGTCTTGCAATTAATTTTGCTCCATGCATAGTGGAGACTGGAGAATTTGTCCCAGCAATGTGCTTGTCACTTGTCAGGCTACTACTGGCCATGGATGGTGAATCTGATTGGTTTAGACAGAGAAAAAGGATTGACCACGAGTCAATTTGTTGGCCATCTGCTACACCTGCCTTTCAAAATTTGGACAAGATCATGCATGATCCAAGAAAAGTTAGTAGCACACCACTCTCAACTCTCGATCTCAACTGGTCCTGCCGATCCAGAAACGACCCAATCTAGCTGCATGGGGCTTTACAGCTCTTTTGCTTTCCTTGTGGGCACAAATTGGCTCAATCATAGTGGGTGTGACAAGGGCTTTGTTGGCTGAACTGTGGCCATTGGTGGGGGCTGATTGGGAGAAAGGACATGGGGGCTCTCACATCTTGAATTGAACTCATCTTGGATAAGATTGTGAAAAAATATCTTGATTTGAATGATCAAGGTTTGTACGCAATTTCGCCTTGCATTGCACCGCCACTTCTATTGATACCTTACTAGAAAAAGGATAAGCTTGTTTCGCGGAAAAGGCTCCGTTGTTTAATGCTTTTTTCTTTATGGATGATTGGATTGATTACGAACAATTCCTTATAGGAAAATTAAATATCGTGGATATTGAGTTGCAAAACATGATCAATCAGGTTTATGAGACACTAACTGGAGTACATTGAGGTAAATGTTCAGAAATCCTGATTGGACTACATAATGTTCTTTTTTTCTTGCTTTTATTTTTCTGTATTAACTGAACTTTTCCATACCCCTTCCTCACTTTAATAGAAAATTAGCAGATCTTCTGGTATTCCTACAAAAATACAATATTTTTTTGGTTCGGTAATGAGAAAGAAATAAGACAGCATACGTTTCTGAGCTTCTGAAAGAAATGTACATGTCCTATCATCCAAGTTAGATAAACCAAATCTAAGCCGGGACGACCGAGTGTACAGCTATTTGAAAAAGGTAAGCTCTAGAATTTCCAAATATTCCTGTTTGATCTTTTGGATTCTACAAGAATTTTTTAACATACTAGTTGGTGAAGGCAAGTGAAACCAGGGAGAAGAGGCCAACAGGTTACAGGATTTTGCAACTGCTACCGTCCAAATACATATCTTGAAGTCCTGAATTTTGATCAGAATAATCTATATGGGATAGCTGGGTCCAATGTGGATTGATCAAGAATTATTGCCACGGGAACTGTATTAATCAAGATTTCTTTGACAAATACGTGCACTTAAAGAGGCAATTATCCTGCGTTTTCAGACCACCAAATTGCAATTGTTTGTCTATGTCAATGGTTTTGTAAAATTGTTTTCGAGACATAGTGATAGCTAGATAGATGACTGATACAAATGCTGAATGTGACATGGTCATTCAATTGGAATAACGTCAAATATTAGCACATCTAGCCGTTTGTATCAGATCAATAGTTCGTTTTTAAAAATTCAGATAAGAAACAGCCTTTTGTCATATCAGTTGTTCTTGGAACCTGAAAGTTTCTGCAAAGAATGTACGATGCTTCTACTAGTTTCCCAACACTGAATATAAGTCTGTTTCTCCTTCTCTACAAGATGCATCGATCTTTGCCGGCTAATACACTGCCATATCTCATTGCCATTTCAATGAGGCCATTGCCGGCTAAGGTATAAACTCAGTTCTTTTGGAGGCAATGTGCATGGCTTGGTTCAGAACTTCATAGAAATGCATATCCTAATTCGTATCGCAATTTGGTACTTTGGTAGCACGTATGATAGAGAGTTTTTGTGTCATTTCTACCAAGTTTGTTCTTCTTGGTTTATCTGTTCCCCGGAATCTGTCATATTTGACAAATTGCTGGGTATATGAATTTTTTTGTTCTATTTGGTAATGGTCAAATTGAGAATGTCTCATATCTGCTGAGCAATCCAAAGGATAGTGTATGCATTTAGTTCTCTTGTGTTTTTTTTTTGTTATTTGCATTTGATTTTAGTCCAAGGTACAGGCCCTCATCTTTTCGCTTATACTTATACTTATTAGCCAAAATTTAAATTTTTAACCTTAAATTTGAAGCTGATTTTGAGGTTTTTTTCATCGAAGTTTATTTTTCAGCCTTTGCTTTTAGATCGCTAAGAACACGTATATAAAAATTTTATTCACAAATTACTTTTCGTTTGCAGATATACCGTTTTGCTTATTCCGCGAATAAGCGAAATGATGGTTCTGACAATTCTTTTTGTCTTTTCTCCAAGAAATGGCATGTACATTACAATGTAGCGAGAACAGATCCTACTTGCGTAGCTAAAAAACATCACAAAATAAATAGTACATACATAGAAGATCGCAGGTTTATTCCCTTTTAAAATTTCCTGTCAAATTTATGCTCAAGTGCGCTCCTGAGAACCACACTGATGGGCCGAACATAATGGGCCCACACGTCAGCTGCCACCCCGTTCCGTTCCCAACTAAACGGGGCCACCCATCATCCCATAAGCCCATCCCATATAATTAACATGGGCCCACCACACAAAATTTCACGGGAACAATTAACATAGGCCCGCACGCCAGCCAGCCACGATCATGTTCCGGCCCAATAATAAAATGGGCCCACACGCCAGCCGAGCCGCAATCCCCCTCCGGCCCATCCAAAACCCCCGCCGAGGCGATCGCGTCGCGGCGAAATCCGCGCGACGCGCTCCGCGTCCACACGCTCTCCCGCGCCGCGCCCCACCGCTCCTCCACCTACCTCGTCACGCGCGCCAACCACCGCCTCCCCCACCCGCCACCAACGCCTCCTCGCCCCTCGCGTCGCGCACCAAATCGCCCGCGCCGCGCCACGCCGCGCGCTAGCTTACTAAACCCTCTCGTCGAGCACCTCGCGAGCTCGCCGTCGCGGCGGGGGGAGGAGGGAGGGAGGGAGGAATGGACTGGTACGCGTGGCTGTGCAGGGCGGGGCTCCACCCGGACGTGGCGTTCGAGTACGCGCGCCTCTTCGCGCGCAACGAGCTCGCCGCCGACGACCTCCGCCACCTCGACCACGGCCTCCTCGCCACCATGGGCGTCCCCATCGCCAAGCACCGCCTCGAGATCCTCAAGCTCGCCAGGAGGGAGAGCCCCCCGTCGTCGTCGTCGTCGTCCTCCCTCGCCGCCGTCCGCCTCCCGTGGCGCGCCACCAGGCTGCTCGCCGCCGCCGCGCGCCGCGCCGCGCTCTCCCTGGCCGCCCGCCTCCGCTCCGTCGCGCGCCGCGACAGGGCCGCCGTCGCCGTCGCGCCGCGCCCGCCGCCGCCGCCGCAGCTGTGGAAGCCGCCCCGCGCTCGCGCGCCGCCGCCGCCGTCCGCGACGCGGAACGGCGGCAGGAAGATGGCGCTGCTGAGGCACCTCAGCAAGCCCATGCTCACCAACCACTCCAGCGGCGGCGGCGGCGGCGGGAAGAGGACGAGGACGACAAACGGCGCGGCGACGACCTACAAGGCCGCCGCCCCCGCCGCCGCGTCGGCGGCGGCGGCGGCGATAACCGGCTGCTTCGCCGCAAACCCCGACGCCTACAGCTACAGCGACGACGAATTCGATCTATACGACGACGGCGAGGACATGCGATGGGAGTCCATGTTCCAAGATCTCAAGCCCACATAAACAGAGCTAGCTTAGCTGCATGCGTAGTGTCGTCCATTCATGGCGAGCTCCAAGCATGCAACAATGGCTGCTCGATCGATCTGTGTCCGGAGGAAGAAGAAGAAGACAAGGTGCGTACATGTAAATCCACATCCACTGTGGTCACTGGCTCACTGTCACTACTCCACTACTTACTGTTTGTATGCTCTGTATTTTGTAACTGTACATGTGTAGAGATCGAGAGAAGATGAAGCTTTTATGTGTGTTTTGTAACCGTTTTTACCATGTTCTTTCTTTGTCTGTGGAGCTGGAAATTATAATTGATTCTGGTAACATTTTCTTCTTCGTCTTGTTTGGTTCATGCATTGTTTGGTACATTCAGGCCCAGCGACAACCAATCAAACCATGTCTTTTTCAGCAGTGCATCTTCATTTTCAGGTTCGGATTATACGTATAGCCATGCACACATCACTGTTCACTGTATTATTGTTTTGTGCATGTGCCATGATATGACATGAGTTCAGAACTAATAAATACCGTATAAAATTTAGTATCTCAAACAATTAAGTGCAGCTAGATACTAAGGACAAAGCTTACTTTTGAGGGCCTTGGCAGTCGTAGCACATGCTGACAGTTTCACAATTCAGATCAGAAACGAAACAAGCTAGGGTGATAGTAGCATATGCCAAAGTTGTTTTTTTTTTCCAGATCCGAACTGCTAGTGTGACATTGTTGTGAGTGGTAGGAATAACAGCCTCTTCGGCCATTCAAAAAGGCAGGAGAGGACGTTTTTGTGCAGGGTTTAGATCTGTCGGCTTTCAGTGCAGTGTAGCTGGCCAACCTTGGCGCTGCTCAAATCTGAACTGCCATCTGCCTGTTGAAAATTCAGCCTGCTGATGAGGCTTCAGGAGGATTCTTGCTGCCTGCCATGTCATGGAATCTTGATCCACACAAAGTAAACAGAAATTTGTTATTACAAATTACAGCAGAGTCAGATAGTGACATGCCGACATGCATTTGATTGGTGGTAGTAATTGGTAAATTGGCCACATGGGCACATGGTTTGGGTTCAGTGTTCACAGTTCAGAACTGAGAGGCAGATAAATTATGGAGATTAAGGTACAGGAGGTTGTAGTTACCTCGTTTGATGCCACGTTCAGTGCTGGGACAATGTCAAAATGGACAAGTAGCTAGCTAGCTTCAGTAACCATACCTCTGAAGAAATGGCCAATAGGTTAGTCTGTTGAGATGCTCAATGCATGAAATATTTTCTTTATCAGAACATGAGAACACCTGAATATCACACAGCTTGTGTGCCTAAGTATAATCATAAATTTCTATTATACAAAAGCAGCAATTTCTGTTATTACATTCTCGTTTTCTTGCTTTAGCTCATCAGCCTAATACTAGCAGCACCAGCATCGCATTACAAACTCAACAAAAAGCACCTCTCTCATTCCTGAACCTCATAGCTGAAATAACAGTGTAGAGCACCAATACTCATAACTGAATACAGTGGATCCAAGAATATCATCAAACAAGATCTCGATCTCATGCTACATCAATGTGAATTCCGGAAAAGCCTTTCTCAGTGAGCAGAGCTCCTCGGCTGGCTGAAGGATCCACCAGCATAGAGCATCTGATATACTGGTCGGATTCTCACTGTCAAAACAATGCTCAGCAATGTACCCAAGCTAGCCACTCCAGCTAGAACGCAAAATGTAAGTCTGAAACAATTAGGGCCATGGCATGCAATGTCAGTGTCCATTGTTGTGGCATGCTGTCTCTCCACTTCCTGGTCGTAAACATACCCCGCGAGACTGTTAAACAAGAGTGCGCCAAGTGGGTTCCCCAAGGAGATGAAATTGAAAATCTTTCCGAAGTGCTTCAATCCAAACAACTCAGATGAAGTTGACACCATCACTGAGAACTGGGCACCATAACAAATACCAAGTAAAGCAACAGAGACATGAAGTGTGGCATGGTGGCCCAATGCAAAGAGCAGGTATATAATTATCATCATGACTTGGGTGCATGTAATCAATGTTGTCCGTGGAAGGGTCCTTGACCTGCGAAAGAAGATCAGTGAACTAACTCAGAATGGTCATTTAGAAAATTTAGAACTTAAAAACAAGCACTTCAGTGATGAACCCAAAAGAAAATATTTTGATACAGCATTTATACAATGGTAATGGGGACCATACCTACTGTTTCTTCTATTAAAAAAGGAGAGAAATTACGGTCGGTTCATTATCTAATTACTGAAAAATTAAAACTGGATTGGGGGCTTGATGGTTAGATCAGGAAATAGATGACCAATGAACAATGGTAGAGTATAACATGCTTGCTCCCCTAAAAGTAAAATCTATGGGTTGGCTAGCTACCAGGTCCTAAACAGTAGCCACAATCTCCAAGAAACTTGACAGGATGACTAACTAGTACTTGGAGACTAGTTGATGAAACTATCCTATTGAAATTCTCATTTCAAAACAAACACAATTATGCAGGACAAGAAATTCCATTACCTGACAAGATACTCAGAAACAGCACCACCTCCTAAACGGCCAAAGAAATTGCCGAAACTGAAGAGGGCGAGTGATATGGTTGTATCCGCAACACCTGCTGCAATTCCAACTTGTGCTAGATTATTAAGAACAGTGACTCCAGATCCAACCCCAATAAAATACACTGCAAATAAAAGCCAGAAATCAGCCTTCAGCAGTGCTTCACGAAATCTAAAGTCCTCTCCCCTTTTTGGTCTTCTTCTCTTCTGCTTTATAGCCCCTTCTCCCTCAGCTAAGAGAATATCAATATCCATGGAATCATCATCTTCTATATTACCAAGATTTGATGCTGATGAAGAAGGAAGTAATGATTCTGTATGATCATGATCAGCAGAAGAAGAAGAGCACTCTGATGAATCGGATTGCCCTTTTCTTCGGTTGCTTGGAAACAATGTCATTTTCAAGGGTACTGTAAGTGGAACAAAGAGGACAAGGACCATGATGACAAGCAGAACATAGTTCACAGCATCAGTAAGAGTTACGAAATGGTCCAATATCGTGGCTGCAACAAGATAAACCCCTAGAAGAACACTGGAGAGTTGTGTGAACAGAAAATGCACTTGCTCCGAAGAGTTCTCCACAAGGGAGGGTTCACAAGGCCGCACGAAGTACATTGTCACAAGGCACACAACAGGAACTCCCAGGGTGACAAAAAGCAGAAAGTTTGAAGCTGAATCATGAAGTACTCCGGTGTATATTACAGTGTACACAGCAGCACTTAAACCAGCGTACCCTTTAAGGATGCCAGCGACGGCACCTCTACTGAGTGGGAAATTCCTCATATTGGTTACCAAAACAGCGGTCCCCAACCATGCACCACTGTTTGCAGCAAGGCATAAGGCAAACCATATCTGAAATACAACAGTACGGTCACTAGTCAGTTTAAGCTGTCCTACGAAATTAAATCTCGGCGTCTCACCATCAGAAGAAGCTAGCAGCCTAGCAAAGTAAGCTAACCCCAGAAACCTGCCCCAGAACAAGCTTCCAGTAAAAATCCCCAATATGTGCATCTTGCTGGCGTGTGAAGCCAAATGTCGCATTTTTTTCCAACCCAAATGTGAATGTGACCCATACTTGTTCGCTAGTTAGTGTTTGGTACAACAATTCTTATTTTGTAGTTTACTTTTTGTTGCTGGGATCTTTGAAAATGACTCCTTTTGTTCCCGGGAACAGGTTCCTTGCTATATCTAACTCAAAAAGTCGTTACTTGCACCGCCCAAAAGTGGCCACTTGGCGTAAAAGAAGCGCACTACCAATACACTAGAGCAATTCGACTCCAATTTCACAACCTAACGAAAATGCACCACTAATGCGCATCCAAATGCAATTTTCTAAAACTAAAATTACAAGAAAAAAAATACAGTGCGAATCGATCTCAGAAGTGGACACCTAGCAACAACAGATCCAAGAAAAGAAAAAAGGTAAAAAAAAAAAAGGAAATTACAGAGCAGAGAGAAGGGTAGAGAGAGATGACCAGCCAGTAGGGGAGCGCGGGGCCGGAGGCGGAGACGGCGAGCCAGGTGGAGCCGTAGCCGAGGAGGCATGCGGCGGCGCCGACGAGGAGCAGCAGGGCGGGGTGGAGGCGGTTGCAGAGGACGCCCGGGAGGAGGCCGAGGTTCTCCCCGACGTCGCAGGCGACCCCGAGCAGCGCGAGGCGGCGCTGGTCGGCGGCGAGCGCGACCTTGAGGGCGTGGGAGTAGAGCGCGAAGGTGGAGCTGGCTCCGCCCGCCACCTGCACCCACACCGCCGCCCCTAGCCCCACCCACGGCGGCCTGCTCCCCGCCTTCACCGCCACCGCCCCCCTCATCCTCCCCTCCTCCTTCCCTGGTCGGATCGAGAAGCGGGGTTTGATCAGCAGCAGCGAAGCGTGGTGGGAGCGAGAGCAGGTTGGGTTGGGGGATGAGGTGTTAAAAAGGGAGAGCGGATTGGGACCTGTCCGACGGACGGGGACTGTGCCGGGGCGGCCACGGTGGCCACGGGGTTGGAGTAGTAGACCAGTAATCCCTCCGGTTTCATTTTAATTAACATTTTGGACAATGATACGATATATTTTTTAAAAAATATTTGACCGTTCGTCTTATTTAAAAAATTTAAGTAATTATTAATTCTTTTTCTATCATTTGATTTATTGTTAAATATACTTTTATGTATACATATAGTTTTACACATTTCACAAAAAATTTTGAATAAGACGAACGGTCAAATATATTTTAAAAAGTCAACGGTGTCAAACATTTAGGGAAGGAAGGAGTACAAGATATATCTTTGATCTTATTTTTTTATTATAATATATATAATAAATAAATGCATGTTTATTTTTATTATAATGCTTTAAAAAACTAAATATTTTTAAAGTTATTAATGGTCAAAGTTATAAAAGTTTGATCTCAACTTTATTCAAAACGTCAATTAATATGGAACAGAGGGAGGAGGGTAGTACCTGGATTTGGTGCGGGAAAAGCGGAAAAGCGATGGATTCTCCACTGGGACAGGCGCGACGCGGTGGGCTGGGCCGGAAGGAACAGAGGAGGAGGAGGAGGGGGAATAAACTCCGATTAGGTCCCTCATCCTTAACGTCGAATATGAATCTCGTCTTTGAATTGAACCGTTATCCTATATACTTCAAGTCATTCTAGCATTTTACACATTCATATTGATACTATATATATCTAGATTCATTAGCATCAATATAAATATGAGAAATGCTAGAATGACTTACATTGTAAAACGGAGGGAGTAGTACTTAGGGAAAGTACTATAAGCCCCTTCATGTTGCCTCTAAATTTACCACATAAGATTAGGTGATGAGTTGGAGGAGAGAAGTTAGGAGAGAAAGAATGAGCCACCCCTCATACAAGAGGCAACATCCATACAATCTCCAATAAAAATATAAGATGAGAATGAGCCACCCCTCATGCAAGTGGCAATCTCCCACACAATCTCCAATAAAAATATAAGATGATGTGGGAGTAAACTAATATTGGGGTTTGTGTACTAGAGGTGACATGTTGTACTTGTTACCTCTTAATTAATGAGAAGATAACATGGTTTAAATTAGATGTGGCACTCACCTCCACTATAAAACTTGCCCTTATATAGTTCATCGCCACTAAGTGTAGTTAATGCTATTTCTCTCTTCTCTCATTAAGCCACATCACCCTAATTATTTCTAGCCTTTAAATGATAGATCTATGGTTCAAATTGTCACTTCTTTATTCTCTCATAAAACCATGCAATCTCAATTATTTTTAGACTCAAAATTGTACTATCAATTTGTTTTAGTTTTGATAATCATATTATATCTTATTTGTACATATTATGCAACTTAATTTTCCGCAGCAACGCGGCGGGGTATTCATCTAGTATCAGGTATAACACGTCCCTCGATCTACACCATCGGTGTACTCGTGGTTATAGACAATATAGTCATTGGTTTTGGCTGATGTGACGGCTAAGGCTCTGTTCTTTTGGTTGAGTTGGGAACCCATCCCTCCGGTACGGAAAACGAAGCAGTCCATTAGCACGTGATTAATTAATTATTTGCTATTTTTTTTTCAAAAATGGATCAATATAATTTTTTAAGCAACTTTCGTATATAAACTTTTTGCAAAAAACACACCGTTTAGCAGTTTGAAAAACGTGCGCACGGAAAATGAGATGGGGGAGTTGGGAACTCCAGGAAACGAACAGAGCCTAAGTCATCATGACCTCACATGTCAACTTCCTCCTCTTCTCTCTCTCATCTCCCAACTTTCTTCTTCATTCTCCGTCCCACCGCCGTGCCGGGCATAGCCCGGATCCTACTCCCTCTCCGCCTCCTCCCTGACATGACAACCCATCCTCCGCGCCAGTAGCCCAACATCGCCAAGGCTCGACCTCTCCTACCCCAGGCACCTCTCCGTCTCGCGAAAGTGCCGCCTTGGGCCTACCTCGCCACCTTCTACTCTATCCCAAGACAATGCAACGCCGGGCTCGCCCCGTCACCTCCTACTTCATCCCACGACAACGCTGTGTTGGGCCCGTCCCACCACCTCTTCGGCGGATTGGTATGCGAGGTTTTGAGATTGGTGGTGCTTGTCTGGTCATGCATCAAAAGCTGCCGCCGCGGCGTGACAAGGAGCGGGATGGCTTGCTGGGATGAGAGATGAGCAGGACGAAGGTTATTACCATTAGCAATCTAGATCCGATGGAGGAGTTCCCGCTGGTGACACCGACGCTCAGTTTTTGGGAGTTCTAGCATCTTGGCACGTTCCGGGGAGTGAGCCCCTTCTCCCCGCTGTTCGACACCGATAGCAGCGTCACTACCTTCACTCCCCCTCGCGCCTGCCGACGAGGACAACATAGATGGGGTGGAGATGCCCAATCGTGGCGGTGGCCTCGAGTTGAGCCCCATGCACCGCGACTAGTGCACCTCTCTCCCTGTATCCCATTGGCCCGCCGCCCAGGAGGCTGAGAAGAGAGGAGAGGGGGAAAGAGGAAAAGAAAGCTAGGAGGGGAGAGAGAGGGGAGAGGAGGATGATGCTAACATGTGGGGCCCACGATGATTTAGCCAGCATGTTAGCCAGCCTATGACCTCGGGTACATCGTTATTGTAAGTTGAGAGACATGCTATATTTGGTATTGCAGTTTAAAGATGAAATTCAAATTCGAGGTTAAGACGAGGGACCTAAAGAGAACTTATTTCGTGGGAGGGCTGGAAGTGAAGAAGACTCGTGTGGATGATGGGCTGATGGGCCGGCCAAATGGATGGAACATTTGGGTAGGGGGGCATTTTCGTTCAAAGTTTATATTTGTAAAAGAAAAACCTCTAGTCCCTCGAAGGGGTGAAAAATGGAAAATAAATCCAGTTTATGAGTTTAATCCATTTCCATATGAGAAATGAAAAGGACAAATTCAGACATGAATAGTAGCAATACTATTCATTTGCTGATCTTTTTTAAGTAGTTTACGTATATGCTATGAATGTTGTCAATTTTTTTAGAATTTTTAACAACTATTTGGATGAACAGTGTTATCTTTAAATGATGAGGGAAATATAGGTTAACTTTCTCCATTGCAGTGTTGACCACAGGTACTATTTCACTGCTAATGTTAGGTGGCATGACAGCATCAGAAGGGACTTGAATAATGGCATGATCATTGCGAATGACCATCCAACCCTAATTTCTTGGACCAAAAAAACAGCTAATTTAGCGCCCACATGTAGATAAACAAAAGCTTAACCGGGCCACAAACTACTCACTGCCAACGCTCATGCTGCACGCTTAATGTATTATAGCCATGCGAAGAAGTTTCAGTCGATCAGAAACACTCAAGTGGGCATATTCAGATTCTTCAGCAATCCATCTGTAAATTCATTCAAAAAACCAAATCAATGTCCTTTCCAGTCTGGTCTTGTGTTTGAATTAATGTCATGCTCTGATCATATCATGCAACCCCATATATGGATGGATCGATCGGGAGCTCGTAGTAATCATGCGTGATCTGATGAATATTTTATGGATGCAATGCATAATTTGCCGTTTTGTTCAGCAACAGTGTCACACTGTCACTGTCCTTGGCTAGATCCAGACTCCAGCGTTGCTTGCTGCAAGCTGCTCCTCTTGAATGTGAGAGTGAGAGTTCGTCAGAAGATGACAGAATTCGGGGTTAATTTCAGTTGGTTTTTACTGACGACGTGCTACGGCCGAGTTTAGTTCCAAAATTTTTCTTCAAACTTCCAACTTTTCCATCACATCAAAACTTTCCTACACACACAAACTTCTAACTTTTCCATTGTGTCGTTCCAATTTCAACTAAACTTCTAATTTTGGCATGAACTAAACACACCAATTGATCTACCAATGCTGATTCTTAGTACAGTTCAGTGTTAATCATGTGCAAAGTAAAGGAATTTGGCCAATTTTGTTCCGTGTTTGAAACATTTTTCTGATCAATCTGCATCTCTCTGGGGCTGGTGAGCATGCGAAAAACGAAGAGACATGCATGGCCCAGAGTGACAGAACAAGTTTCAACTTTGCGAACCAAACTAATTTTCCTTTTCTTTTTGAGCAATTCTAAACCTTTTCTTTTTAATTTCCACGTTCTTATCGCCATCGACTCTACCTTATTAGTTCAATTATGCATGGAAAATCATGGCTGCACTTAAAATGGAACGGAGGGAGTACTTTATTAGTTCAATTTTTAATTGAATTTACACACCATTTAATCTATTCATGAATCATGATAGGTTTCACTATATATTACTGCCAAAGTGGATCAGACTGACAAGCAACAAGCAGCTGCAGCTTAACTCGCACGTGTGGAATTAGGGAGCTAGCTAGAGCTCGAGCTGATCGGCAATGGCGGGCTCCGACCACCACCCCGGCGGCCGGGACGGCGCGCCGCTGGTGTTCGACGAGCTCCGGTGGGTGATCCAGATCCGGCGCTCCCTCCAGGAGGACGGCGGCGACGACGACGACGACAACGGCATCCCGGTGTCCGTGTTCAACGTGCCCAAGCAGCTGCAGGCGCACAAGCCGGAGGCGTACGTGCCGCAGTTCATCGCGCTGGGGCCGTACCACCATTGGCGGCCGGAGCTGTACGAGATGGAGCGATACAAGCTCGCCGCCGCGCGGCGCGCCCAGAGGCACCTCCGCGAGGGCGTCAAGCTCGAGCACCTCGTCGAACAGTTCGCGCGCGCGGAGCGCAAGGTCAGGGCGCACTACCACCGCTACCTCGACTTCAGCGGCGAGACGCTGGCGTGGATGATGGTCGTCGACGGCGCGTTCCTGCTCGAGTTCTTGCAGATCTTCGCCGCCGCGGAGGCCGCCGCCAGCGGCGGCGGAGGGAAGCCGGAGCTGAGGAGGGTGTCGTCGAGGATGGCGCACCTGGTGGACTTCGCCGGGAGGAAGTCGGCGCACAACCTCATCCTCCGCGACATGCTCATGCTCGAGAACCAGATCCCGCTCTTCCTCCTCCGCAAGCTCCTCGAGCCGCAGTGCTCGTCGGCGGAGGAGGCCAGCGAGCTGCTCGGGCGGATGGTCACCGGCCTCATGAAGGAGCTCTGCCCCTTCAAGATGATGGACAACTTCCCGGCCATCGACGTCGCCAAGCACGCCCACCTCCTCGAGCTCCTCTACCACCTGCTCGTCCCGAAGCCATCCGACGACGCCGCCGCCGCCGCCGACGGCCACGACGAGGGCTACGACATCGAGGAGCAGCCGGTGGACGGCGGCGGCGGCGGCGGCGAGGAGAAGCAGCAATCCGCCGGGTGCGAGTACGTGAAGCAGCTGCTCGCCGCGGTGTGGGGCATCGTGTCGAGCCTCAAGAGCGGGCCGATGCAGTACGTGGCGAAGCCGATCTCGTTCGCCGTCAAGGCGCCATGGAAGATGCTCACCGTGGTCCCGGGCTTCTCGGCGATGAAGCACCCAGTGGAGTCCTTCTTCATGTCCGGCGGCGGCGGCGACCCGTCGTCGTCGTCGACGGCGGCGGGGCAGGACCACCACCACGCGATCAGCCGGCCACCGCTGATCGAGGAGATCATGATCCCGTCAGTCACCGAGCTCGCCGCCGCCGGCGTCCAGTTCGCGCCGACGAACGGCGACGCCACCACGGTCTCGTTCGACGCCAAGACGGCGACGCTGCACCTCCCCGTGGTGACGCTTGACGGCAGCACGACGGAGGTGGTGCTCCGCAACCTGGTCGCCTACGAGGCGTCGGCGGCGACGGGGCCGCTGGTGCTCGCCCGGTACACGGAGCTGATGAACGGCATCATCGACACCGGCGAGGACGTGGCGGCGCTGCGGCGGCGAGGGGTGGTGCTGAACCGGATGAAGAGCGACGGCGAGGCGGCGAGGCTGTGGAACGGGATGAGCAGGTCGGTGAGGCTGACGAAGGTGGCGGCCATGGACGCGGCGGTGGAGGGGGTGAACCGGTACCACGGCGCGCGGTGGCGGGTGAAGGCGAGGCGGTTCATGCGGCGCTACGTGTTCGGCTCGTGGCAGCTGCTCACCTTCCTCGCCGCCGTCCTCATGCTGCTGCTCACCACGCTGCAGGCCTTCTGCTCGGTCTACACCTGCTCGCGGTGGTTCGGCGCCGTCGCCGTCGCGCCGCCGCCGTAGCGCGGCGGCGACTGCGAGCGATCGACGTGGTTGGTTGGTTTGTTTTTTTTGGATTTGATTGCATGCGTTTGGGTTTTGGGATTTTGCTGCTATACAAGTGTACATGTGCGATTTGGATTTTGTGTGTATTTAATGATTTTTTTTGTTTTGTTTTGGGGATTAATTTATACTTGTATATTTGTACTTTGGTTGTACTTGGATAGATACAATGCAAGTTTGGTGAGAAGTAATTTTGTGATTAATTCCGCACCTATAGAAAATCATGATATAGGGAAGGTTTTTGTCCAATTATTTCATGGTGGCATCCTAAATTTTATTTCTAACAATTAGGGCCCCTTTGAATCGCAGGGTAGAAAAAATGGAGGAATAGGAAAAACATAGGATTCTGACAGGAATTGAAGTGTAAAACAGAGGATTGCAAAACACAGGAATGGTCGTTTGATTGGAGCGCAGGAAAAACGCAGGAATCAGATGAGAGAGATAGACTCAAAGGAAATTTTCCAAGAGGTTGGAGCTCTTGCTAAATTTCCTCCAAAATCTACATGCAATGTGTCATTCCATAGGAATTTCATAGGATTTGGAAAGCTTCAATCCTTTGAATCAAAGGGCCAAATAGGAAAATTTCCTATAGGATTTGAATCTTATGAAATTCCTACATAAATCCTTTGATTCAAAGGGGCCCTTAGTAGCAAGGAGGAACTCACCTATGTACGTATTCACTATATCCAAAACTTCAGTTAAAGAAAAACTATATCCAAAACCAAACTAGTGATGGAAAGGGGTTAATCCAAAAATAATACCTCCGTCGGTCCGTCCCATAATAATTGTATTTCTAATATTCAAATTTGTCCTAAAATAGTTGTCACAATATAGTACCAATTGTTCCATTAATCACTTTTGATTTGAATTCCTCTCTATTCTATCCTCAACCACCACCACACACTTACCTATACACTATTTAATGAGAAGCACAATAGTCTTTATTCTCAAATCTTAATATATACTAAACAATCTAGAATTACAATTATTTTGGGACAGAGATATTACTCTTTTTCACAGCACAAGTGGAACTGACACATCCACACACACCACACTTGTGCTCACACATACAAAACCATGTGGATGTGTCCTGGCACATTTTAAGTTAAAGAGATTGGAGGCAAGTACTATTATTTTAAGTATTATCTACTGAGATTAAATCACAAGGAAATGTGAACACATATCTTAAGTCCGAAACTTAAAACTTAGGGCCCCTTTTAATCGCAAGAATGGAAAAAAAGGAGGAATAGAAAAAATACAAGATTCTGATAGGAATGCAAGTGTAAAACAGAGGATTGGAAAATATAGGAAAAACACAGGAATGACCGTTTGATTGGACCACAGGAAAAACACAGGAACCGGATGAGAGAGATAGACTCAAATGAATTTTAAAGGATAGGATATGATTCAATCCTTTGTTTCAAAGACTTTCGTAGGATTGAAATCATCCAAAGTTCCTACACTTTTCCTACAAATCAAAGTATTGACGTAGTACGCTTCTCAAATCCTACGGGAATAAAAAAATACAGGAAAAACAATAAGAATTATTTGATAGTGCCATGGGAAAAATAAAGGGAAGTTTACAAAGAGATCATACCTCTTGCTAGTTTTCCTATGTAATGTGAAGCATAGGAATACAATCATATGGAAAGTTTCATTTCTTTCTTCTGAATCAAAAGGATATATGGGAAAAAATTCATAGGAATTTGAATCCTATAAAAATCCTTTACCAATCCTATGAATCAAAGGGGCTAATCTTACTAGCCGAGTTATGCTCAATTCATTACCCAAAGATGCTCTTTGTTCACTTTAGCTCAACCTAAACGGTCTAAAATTTCACCTACGAGTTGGGCTGTGGGCGCCATAACCAAAATCACATCTATAGCTTGAGTCAACTGCAGTTTAGTCTTTATTTATTGTTAATAATACTATAATGTCCCTCAGCTAGTTTACTTATAACTAGGATCAATGTCACAATCACTTTTTATGAGGAGTATCACTATAACGTGTTAATGAAGATAATCTGCGTAAGATTATGAATTCATTTTCTTTATTAATAGTTACATGATTACGATCGATATATATATAGACAAATTGATCCAGCAACTGTTGACTTATCATTTATCAATTTAAATTTCCATCCTACATTCTATTGTCTCCGATTAGGCCAGGGAAGATATGGCAATTAAACAACAATTCATTTTGTTTTTTTTAAATGTTCGAGTTGCTCAACCGAATTTGCAGTAAACAATAATGTCCTGATCAGTTAGCATGGAATTTTCGCTTGCCCATACTTCAGTCCATAGTTCATGAATAAAATATGATAAAAGAAGGCAATACAATGACATGACATGAACTTGTCTGATCCAAGTGGAAGACATTTTACTTGCAATATTTTGAAGCTAAAATATAAGAAAATCCTTTACACGCTAGCAATCCATCATGACATGGACATTTGATTATGAAGAAAAAAATGTTGCAGCTGTCATACCCCCTTCTGCCCCACATGGACTGCAACTTAATTGGCTAACATAATTCTTTCTTCATGGGCTCATGGCCTATGCTCCCAAGGGGAAAAAACATCCACTACATAAAGAAGCAGCAGAAAAAATCACAAATTCCTACTAATAATGGCGCTGAGCAATCAAATGCAATGACTATTCCCTCTAGTTTTTTTAGATAATGCCCTCTAGTTGTAAATGCTAAAGTATTGGTATGTTTCCTACACATTTTATACTTAAAAGATTAAATTAGCTACTCCATCATTATTAGCTTAGAAAAATTATTGACCTTGTCTTCTGTCAAACTATTTGATGACATAAATAAGAAAACCAGGAGAAGAGAACTGCTGCACATCAGGAGATGCTCAACCATACGTGAGACTGACACCTAAAGCTGAGGATGATATGTTGGATTAGGCACACACACACTGACACACAGCTAAGCATTCTGCATCCATTTTGTGAGTTTCTTGATTGAAACTTTGTTTTTAAAAAAACAACATTTAGAAGCGTACCGATTCACGAAGTTGCATTTTCTTGATTGAAAATCTGAAATGCTGTCATCAAGTTTCAGTTTCTTGATTGAAATGTTGTCAAGAAGTTAGTACATCAATGGTGTTTCTCACCCTCTTCAACAGGGGGGGAAGAAGATGAAGAAGGGAAAAATAAATGAAATTAGAAATTACACCTTGGATCTTGCTATAGCAGGGTTGCCTTCTCAAGTGTGTGTGTCTCACTAGTTGAGCACAGATTATCTAAAGAAAGAATGAAACATAGAAGAAGAAGAAGAAGAAGAAGAAGAAGAAGAAGAAGAAGAAGAAGAAGAAGAAAAAATGTTCAGTGATGTCTAGGGTTATGGCCCCTTGGACCATAGTAATCTACATGGATCTCAGGCAGCTCATGTCCTACTCTGCTCTTCTCTTCAGAAATGGCTTTCTCCATTTCACCAGATGGCTCACCATCAGTCTTTGCTACTACTACTGCTACTACGTTATCGCCAGATGTCTGCAAACCAAGAATGAGCATCAGTTAGCAACTTGGAATCAACATATACATTCATTGATCAATCTTTATCAGAAAACTTAAATGACAGTGATAAAACACTTACGTTATTGACAGTCTGTTTGCTGAATGCTGAATGACTCTCTGCATCCAACCGAATGCTCTGAACTGTTGCAGCCATCAGGAACAGAGCCAGGACAGCAGCAACCAATGGCAAGGAGGTCTTCATTTCGATCTTCTGTGTAAGTAAGAATCCTGAGAAAAGTTCAGAGACTGGAATACTAGCACTTCAGCTCAGATGGAACAGTGAGGAGCTATGAAGTTAGGTTGCTGCAACCCTTTGACCCAGAGATGATATATATACATCATTTGCTTCAGAAGCAAAGCCATGGTCCCATCTAGTGATTGCTGCACTCATGTCTGCAATGGAGGTGTAATCTGAAGTACAGATGCAAAATTTGGGCATAATTTATGTTATCTCTGCTACACTTTAGAGAAGTATGTCTGCCCAAAGTATGGGCCATGTTTAGGCCATTGGTCCCTGGATTAGGTGCCAATGCCACACTTGGAAGTACCAAATGTAATTAAGAATTTTGTCAAGTACTGTATTTGGTCTCAAGTGTGATATACATCTGCTCCTAGAAAGTTGCATCCATGTCTCTGAAGGAATGTACAGAGTTGCGTATATTTGCTTGTGCATTCCTCCAGGAAAAGTGTACAAACTTGATTAGTTAATTGGGTTGAATACTGGCGTACGAGAAAGCTTTGATTTTTTAATGGAAGATTAGGACTAATCAGACGAAAATGATCAGTGCCCGTGCAATTTGGCATGCATCATTCCTGCACTTTGAAGGCATTATTTTGGTCTTTTGTGTTTGTCTCCGTGTTTTTTGTATCAAGAGACCAGACAACTGAAAAAACATGAGACAAAACCATGGAAAAGATGAGCCAATTGGCGGCAATTTCACTCAATGGGGGTATCTTTTACATGGTCAACGTTCAATTACCCAGGAGCTGAGTAGCTGACATTTTTATTTACAGACAAGAATAGGAGAAAAATATGACACTGTGAGCTTGGGCACTCACTTCTTTCTTCACAGAGCTCAACTTGTTACAGCCGCTTAGAATTTCTCACAATTTGAGAGCTCAGAACTCATGTTCGTTGGCTTAATTACCAACAAGAATAATAGCTGGTGTCATCACAACAATGGTGGTAACATCTAACAACAATGAGGTGCCGAGATCACTACATACAATTAACACTCGGCAATGCAACATACTAGAGAAATTGCAGCAAGAATGCAAAGAAGATGGCCATCATTGGTTTCTCAGGAGTGTCCTCAAGCTGTTCAGCCCCTCAGCCGAAATGCTGCGCGCCACCCTACCGGGTCGGCTCACTCTGACCTGGGGAGGAGCCTCCAGGTGGAAGGAGACCAACACCGCGGTTAAGTTGTCGGTGGCGCCTCGCTTTATTGCCTCCTCAACGATCTCCCTGCAGCAGGACTTCACATCGTTGTGTTCTTGGAGGCGCCTCCGTGCAAAGTCCACCACGTTTTGGTTTGAGAAGACGTCCCAGATCCCGTCGCTGCCAATTATCAAGAACTCGTCGTCCTTTGTCAGTGTGATCATCTTTAGCTCTGGTTCAGCACTAAGTGGACCTCCTGGATTGCCAGCTTCTTTCATGCCCTCAAGATGCCAGTCACCGAGTGCTCTAGTGACTCCTAACAAACCGTTGAGGTAACCATCGTCGACATAGCCACCAAGTGATTCTACACGCAGTTTTTCGCTGAGGCTGCAAGGCCTGTGGTCCACTGACATTTCAATTGCAGTGCCGCACCGTGAAAGAACCGCCCTACAATCTCCAGCATTTGCAATCAGAAGAGTCCTGCAGTAGACATGAAGATATCAGTATCCATCATAAGTGTTTGCGAACAAGTGACAGGTATAAAAACGTAGCAAAAAGTTTACAGAAAGACATGATATGGATGTTTGCCACTTCATGCTTTTAGAATTATATCTAGGAATTAATAAAGCAATGAAATCTATAGCACGTGATAAAGATTCAAAAACAGGCATGATCTTATAGCTTAACATAATTGGAAAACACATCTGCTAGTAGATCTAAGTATCTAACCAAGCCCAAAGTAAAATTGAATAGCAATAAGGAAACCAAGATTGTCGCAGGTATTTAGTTCATGTCTCATGGTACTGATAACTGATTCTTATAAGCATACTATTCAAAGATGGGAAAACCACAGTTTAATGTGTCATAAAAGCACCTTCCGAAAATCATTGCTGTAAGTGCTGTTGTGCCAGAAGACAGTGTTGTCTTTGCAAACTGATTATCTGCATGAACAAAGGATCTTCTTACTACTTTCTCAAGCTCAAGAGGAAAATCAGCATCTTCCACAATGATCCTTGGTAAATTATCACGAACAAAATGGGCAGCATCTTTTCCACCATGCCCATCAAAGACCTGATAGTGGAAATGGAGCAAAGACTTAATTCACATAAACGTGCTATGATTAGTAGTTTTATCAAAATACAGAAGCAGAAGAATAAGAAAAATTATAAAGCCACTTATTGAACATTAAATAAAAACTGAGCCCCAAAAATGTGATAGTAGAGTAACTTTACTGAGATATCTCGATTTCATTAAAATTGAAACAGTGAAGAATAAGATCAAGTTCTGTAGGTGTGAGTATGGAGGATGTTTGGATATGATTGGTTGGATAGTCCTTAAGAATGCATACAAATTTGTTAGTAATTGTACTCCTGTTACACTACACAAATAAGCTGGGTCAAAAAATGCAGATGGCATGTTTATTTTCTACTATGCGCACTACACAAATATGTTACTACTGGACTAGCGTACTGGTCTACTGGATGCTATTGATATGTTACTACTGAACTGGAAGAACATATATCTAGTTCTGAACAAATCTGACAAAAGTTTCTACTTTCATTCATGACATGCTAGTCTCTTTTTAGCTGTAAGTTTATGCACAAAAAAAGGTAGGTACTCATTTGGTCAGTCAGAATCGGGGAAACATACAAATGAGCGGGAAAGTGCTTACCCCATAAAAGGAAATAGCTTCATTATCCACCGATTGATAACCAAAGTTCTTAGCTAGGTCAGTAATACACACATGGGTATCTTCCATGTATTGACGACCTCCAATATCCGACCAATCCCCAGATCGAATATTTGGGACAAAATTACCAGACTTATTTTGCTTGAAATCAGCAGCTGTAGTGTTCTCACAAACTCTTTCCATCTGTCCAAACAAAAGGATTAATGCTAGATCAATTAATTTGTACTGGAAATTCAGAGCTGGAGCAATTAATAGGAAACAACAACTCTAATGAAAAGAGGAGGCAATACTTTGCTACAAAGTTACATTCTTTAAAATGCTTCTTTAGAAACGTGGCTAGACAAGTTATTTCAAACCCCAATTGAACATTTTATTTATTTATTAGATGATTTACTAGCTAACGAGTAATGAATGAATTATTCATTGAGTGTCAACGGCCGATAAATGTAACTCCAGATAACAAAACAGAAGATTAAGCACTTGGGGTAACATCACATAAGAAAAGATCCCATAGCTGCTACTGCCTGGTGTTTGCTAGATGCAACAAATATATCATCAAAAACTACACGCTTCAGCACTCTCCATAGCAAAAAATTAATGCCGCAACACTTATGATCCAACAATCTCACTAGCCATAGATAATTAAAGCCAAGCAGTTTCTACAACTGATATGAAGAAAAAAGAACACTTCAAAGTTAGCAAACCACATGGATCACTTCAGGAAAAATGTGCCCTTGGGTGAGAGAGAAGCACAAGAACCACTCTTTTTTCCTCATTTCAGTCAAGAGAGGGAAATAAAGTACCATGTACACTTTGCAGGTACTACCTCTTTCCTGTTCTAAAGCACGTGATGATTGTTTTTGCCCTGTTTGGTAGGTACAACAGTCTGAAATTAGGGCCTGTTTGGGAAACAGGGACTTATTTTAAGTCCCTGTCACATCGGATGTTTATACACTAATTTAGAGTATTAAACATACACTAATTATAAAACCTATTCTATAACCTTGGACTAATTCGCGAGACGAATCTTTTGAGTCTAATTACACCATGATTTGACAATGTGATGCTACAGTAAACTTTTCATAATTATGGATTAATTAGGCTTAAAAAATTCGTCCCGCAGATTAGCTTTCATTTATGAAATTAGTTTTTTTATTAGTCTATGTTTAATACTCCAAATTAGCGTCAAACATTCGATGTGACACGGACTAAAAAGTTTTAGCCCCATCTAAACACCCCCTTAGTACTCCACAATGAACAAGCCAGAGATTGGAAGCTGCGACTATAATTATATATATTCAGTACAAAATCAAAGTACCAATGAACAATGCAATGAACAGGTGACCAATAACGTAGTATTAGTAGTAGTATCATCACACATTGGCAAGAAGAACACCTACCAGGCCACCAAACTTCGCAGCTAACAAATGCAGAAAACTTAACTCCTCCACACACACGATCAGTCTAGGCACAATCAGTACTAGCTAGCAGTAATAATTAAACAAGAAAAAAGAATCACAATCACTTCTAATAATACTCCATGTGTTTCAAGAAACGGAAGAGGCGTGTGCACAAAGCAAGCACCCAGAAGGGCATGCTTTGCTTCCTTCCTTCCTTCCTTCCTTCCCAATCTCATCATCATCGTCCTTCCTTCCTTCACGCCATGAAGGGAAATCAAACGAACCTAACGAAGAAGAAACGCCCCAAGACAAAGAATCGAATCTCTCGTTGCGGAAGAGAGAGAAAACCAAGTAGTACCCTACTCACCCGAGGCGAGGGGAGTTCGTCGGGGCTCTTGCTCTTGCTCTTCCCGGCGTCGGCGGCGGCGGCGGCGGGCTCCCCAAAATCCAGCCTCTCCGCGCCCTCCGACTCCTCCACGCACATACCGGCGCGCCGTACAGGGCGTTCTTGGCACCACGGAGCTCGATCGATCGATCGCGCAACTGGGCGCCCTGCTGCTAGTGGTATATTGCAGCTAGGAGAGACAGGGAAGAGAGAGAATCGGAGCAAAGCAAGCACAAGCTACTACTCTGTAGGAGGAGAGAGAGAGGGGAATCCGAGGAGGAGGAGGAGATTCTTGGGGAATATCTGCGGAGAAGGAAAGAAATGGGAGGGAAATGGAGGTGGGTGTGTGGTGTGGTGTGGGGGCGAGAGAGGGAAAAGCTTTGCGGTGGTGGTGGTTAGTTGGATTGATGGAGGTGGATTGCGGCGGCGGCCTGGAATGGGGGGTTAGGGTTAGAACTGCACGAATCTTAAAGCTAATCCAACGGTCTAGGGACTCTATCGTTTCGGCATATTTTGTAAATGGGAAATAATTACTACCTCCGTTTCATATCATAAGGCGTTTTGACTGCTTCAACTTTGTAGAAACAAAACATTTTCAACCCAAAATAATTTTATCATAAAAATATATTTATTTATTGATTTAATAAAATTAATTTGATATTATAAATATTATATATTTATCTATAAACTTAGTCAAACTTGAACGACCATGACCAAAGTTAAAACGTCTTATAACCTAATAAATAAAACTTTTATATGCGTGTTCTTAGTGATCTAAAAGCAAAGACTGGAAAATAAACTACAATGAAAAAACCCTAAAATTAACTCTAAATTTAAGGTTGAGATTTTAATTTTTGATTTATAAGCATGAGTCAAAAGACGAGGCTGTAGAATTTGAATTTATGAGGTATTTTTCTGTCAAACGCCATCTAGACATTTATTTATTTTTTATGATGATGGTGAGAGGAAGAGAAGCACGTGGGCGTAGAAACGTCACATCTGACGTGGTTGGGCTTTGGGCCTTCCATTGTGGACCTCGAATCCGACGACAATGCCACAATGCTGCCGTAGGAGAGCGAGAGGAATTAAATTTAAAAAATATATTTATCTTTTTTTTAGAAATATGCGGATGTAATTTTTTTTTTCACAAATACAACGTCGTCACTGTATGGAAATGTAAAATCAACACAATATTGCTGAACTATTGTGCGAAAATAACGATGGTGTAACAATGCGGACGGTCTCGTAGACTGAGGAAGCGAGACTGCGCGTGGACAGTGCGAGACCGAGCAACAGCCATTTGGGCATGCCCAAAAAGCAACAGCATTTTGGGAAATGATTAATTAGTGAGTTGATTATCCTGATTAATCACTAATAATGCTAATTAAAATAATTAATTAATTGCTAATGATGCTAATTAATCTATTAATCATGCTAATACGGATACAAAGTCACGGTCTCGCGCCTCGCCCTGCGAGACCGTGACGCGGCACCGTCGTGCGACGACGGTATACTTCTGCAAATTTCTTCTAAGCGTGTATATTTATGTAAAAAACATACATATTCATTTTTTTCCAAGCGAGAGGGTGTTTATTTTGTTCGGTGGCTAATGTGCCATTTTAAATCACACGAATGAAAAAAAAAGAAGAAATAGAAAAATATATGATTCTAATATAAATAGAAGTATAAAACAGAGAATTGCAAAGACATAAGAAAGATTATTTGATTGGGCCTTACGAAAAATATAGGATTTTGATAAGAGATATAGACTTAAAGGAAATGTTTCAAGAGGTCAGAGCTCTTGCTAAGTTTTCTACAAAATCTCTGTATGATTGTCTATTCCATAGGAATTTCAAATGATAGGATAATTCAATCCTCTCTTTCAACAGTCTTTATAGGAAATTTTTTTTTAGGATTGAATCCTCTAAAATTTCTATGTTTTTTCAATAAACCAAGAGAGTACATGTATATATGTCGGCATATTTTTAAGGAAAAATTAGTCAATATTTCATTTGATATATGAATGGTAGTAATTCATAATCAACTGGTGAACAATTAACTTGCATATCATTTAAAAGTTGTCGTTTACCCACTCTTTTCCTAGTTTAGCACTTACATGCTAGTTACATTGTAATTAAGATGTAATTGAGATATAACTATAATATAATTAGAATGTAACCATTAAATATGCAATGTAATTTGTTTGTTGCCATTCACTTCATGTTAAGAAAATCGGATCAACTGAATTCACTGCATTAGGCAGTGAGAAACAAGTACTAACATTCATTGCAAGAATAGATCAATTAATTTGTACCACATGCCCAAGATCACCACACATGTTGTTCCAATTTAATTGCTAGTGTTCCAGCAGAATCGGTTCATATCTGCGTTGCTCCTGCACGGATCGCAGAGAATCAAGTGGCTCAAAATCAACTATAATTAGGGCAAATATCTGTCGACATAAATTTATGTCCACTACGGCATATTTGCAAACGAAAAAAAATTTGTAAATAAAACTTTATATACATTTTCTTAGTGATCTAAAAGCAAATGATGAAAAATAAACTTCGATAAACCCCCCCCTCTAAAATCAACTTCAAATTTAAGGTTGAGAATTCAAATTTTGACTGATAAGCATACACATAAGTGAAAAGATGGAGCTGTTAACGAAACCTTTATCAAAGAGTGTCATGGTTATGAATACCACATACCTAATAGTAGTTGACTAAATCTCGGCAGGACCCACCACATACCATGTCTTATACGGAAACTGACCTTGAGGGAGTTCCGGATAAGGAAAGACAACCAGAGTTCTACATGGAAACGACAAGGACTACTCGGATTGTATCCATATTGGTTTTCCTAGTTCTACTTGAACAATGGGACACCTATGGGTATAAATACAAGCCCCCCTAGGAGGACAGGGGGACAACCATGATGAGACGATCAACACGATCAACGACAACCATGATGAGACGATCAACACGATCAACACCCACCATGACGAGACAATCAACACAATACACGGGACAACATACAAGCCAACATACGTCAAGACAAGCCGCCGGATATCGACATCAGAGATACGCCTGGATCGACCCTATCCGGTACCTTCAGAGGCCGGCCGTAGGGATCTAGCACTGTCTCTGATTCCGTCGGGCGCGAGTTCGAGGAGGAAGGCTACCCTGTTGTCGACTACAAGTCAGACCTTCAGACCGCCATGTCGACAACAGTTAGATAGGCTACCTCACATATTGTACTGGTGTGATTATGGTGAATAAAAAGCAACATCGGCTCCGGCCAACAGGATGTAGGGGTATTACCTGATCGCCCCTAATCACCATCCTACATCCAACTATACATTAGGAGTATTTATGAAAGGGTATTATGGGTTTTTTCTTCTAACTTTAATACATGCTAAACATTTTAGAACGACAAGTCCACAAGTTTGGACAGAGGAAGTACTTCCATCTCATCTCAACGTGCGCAGTCCGTATGTGAAAACTGAAAAGTAATCATTGTCCCTCCCTAACTATTTGCATCTTTGCCTGTTGGCCCGTTAATGTACGGGCTCCCAGGCTATTAATTATATAGGCTAACTTGTACAACATACTAGTACTACCTCCTCCATCCTAAATACTTCTCCATCCTAAATACTTGTCGTTTTCAGTTTTCGTTTGTAATGTTTGACCATTCGTATTATTTAAAATATTATAGAATTATTATTTATTTTTTTTAACTTGATTTATTATCAAAAGTAAGTATGACTTATCTTTTTTATATTTACACTAATTTTTTAAATAAGACGAATGGTCAAACGTTACAAGTAAAAAGTCAAAACGACATCATCAGTTCAAAACGACATCACCAGTCTGTAATGTTTAAGCAAAGATTGAATTGCACAGACTCTGAACAAACACCAGATCAAAATATTCTGAGAAAATGGGTTTATCTTATCACTGTAAATATGCTGACACTAAAATGCAGACAAGAAAACAACCACCCAGCATTATCACAAGCTGTTGGCCACAACATGATCATAAAACACTAGTATGTGCCTCGCGCGTTGCCGCGGGACATAATGAAAATTGGTTATTATAAGCATGGAGTGAAGCACGGAAACAAAAGGTATTCATGTAGATTTTGAAATATAAATCCAACGTCAAAGCTGATATGATTAGAAACTGCAGTGTCGTTAATATAAATGTGAATACATATATTTTTAATATTTCACATGACAACAAAAATATTACTGGAAGTTTACTTACTAAAGCATATAATATATGTAAGATATGTTATTTCATCGGACAAAAAGAACTGATGACGGTAGTCAGTTGGCAATTAAAATAGTTATATTATTTACATGGCAGGCATACAAGTGAGTGAGACAAATAATTTATCTCGTAGAACACTCTTGCAAGCCAAAAGGTACATAATAGGGCATAGAGGTGCATTGATATATTTTCTAGCAGAACACCTGCTGATGGAAAAATGAAATTTATAATGATCATTGAGATGGCTGGATGCTTGGTTCTTCGTATGATGGCAGCTGCATTATAGTATGATTATGAGCATCAGCCATAATCAAGACTGGTAGCATAGTGAATAACAGATTAATTTTTAAGTAAAATAGGTATGTGTGTGAAACATCCATATACAGTTGTTGAAGTGGCTAATCACATTGAAACAGGGAAAATAATATCATGTGACAGTTGATGAGATGACAAATGAAGTGGTAAGACATGTTATGAAACATATATATGGATGGAAAACTTGATGAATTATAGCATACTATGAACTTGTACCAAGACTAAATTAATAGGAATAGGTGTGTGATCAAATATGATAGACTACTTAAAAGCATTAGCTGTGAGAGAATCTAGATTTGGTGTGGAAGATTTTTTTTTTCTTTTGGCAATTAATGCAGGAATGCAAGGATCTTCAAATTTATATAGGTAACCTGTAAAATGCTGTAAACTTCTTTTCACATTGAACTTGTTTAGTGGTCAGAATGCAAAATATAAAAAGAGGAAAACAAACTTACGAAGAAACCATGGATACCAGAAGGCATATATTAGAGGAAAGTTGAGTGTGAAGATCACATAAAATAGACAGGAAAGAACTGAACTATTGTAATAATACCAACTGCGTGCTGCTTTGACAAGGCAGAGGTTTCAGATAAAGAATCCTGCAAACAATGAAGATAGGTAAATTTGACATTATCAAAACACAAAGAATATAATCAGGTCAAGTTAGTAGGTCTGAGAAAAAAGAACCTAGGACTCACATTGGGGGCAAGGCAACCAAACACAACAAATTACCAATAGGTAGAACACGTATGCTTGACTTACCTGTAATCATGTATGCATTCCTTGTTGATCCAGATCGTTAAATATTTCTTTGTAAACAACATTGTGAGTGCTGGTCACATGCTCAGTTGGACTATTCTCAATTAGAATACGAAGACCATCAGGCGATGTTACACGTGAGAGTGCGACATAAAGTTGTCCATGTGAAAAGACAGGGCTAGGTAAGTAGACACACTTGGTTTGGAACCATCCCTTCGAACATGTTTCCCTTAAGCAATAGTATTCGTAACTCTGGAAAAGTTTCATCTATACATCTTGGGATTGCACCACTGAATTGGTTATATCGCAGATCCATTGTCTTCAAATTAGCACCGAATGGCCAGACAAGGGGAAATGTTCCATTCAGTTCATTCTCACTTAAGTGGAGATATGTCAAATTGGGCAAAGAAGGCAAGGGGCCAGACAGATGGTTTTTGGACAGATCAAGAAATTGAAGATTCAAAAGGCTGGATAGACCTGTTGGAATTGATCCAGTTAAATGATTCCCTCTTAGATTGAGGATAAAAAATAGATGATTTGAAGCTATGCAATTTGGAATGGATCCAGTCAACTTGTTATTGCTAAAATCAACCACACCAAGATTCACGTTGGTGCAAATGCTAGTAGGAATCTCCCCTGAGATATTATTATCGTTTAGCACTAGATGATTCATCGACATAGTTGTAGGAAAACTAGCAGTTATTTCACCCGATATGTTGTTGTAAGATAAATCTAAAGTTGAAAGATTCTCCAAGTGACTAACGGCTGAAGGAAATATGCCTTGAAAAAAATTCTTCGATAAGTTTAGGTAGCTCAAATTAGGGAATGTGATGTTGATGTCCACAGGAAGGTCCCCGCTTAGCCTGTTATAAGATGCATCTAACCATGATAAGTTCTGATTTACTGTGGAAGGAAGAATGAGTGATCCAACAAATGAGTTATGTTTCACACTCAAGTATGATAGATATATATTATTCTCCAGTAACCACGTCGGGAAATGACCACTTAGATTATTGTTCGAAACATCAATTAGGTATAATCCGTGCTGGTGTGATAAGAAACTTGGTACAACACCAGAATTGGCATTCAGGTTGCAGTTTGATAGTTCAAGAACCTGAAGCTGACTAGATATATTTGCTTCTGGATTCTCAGTTTGCACTTGGAAGCTGGCACTGTTGCTTGATAGTCTCAGGTATTTCAGTTGGAGATGATTTGAAAAAGAGTTTAGGAGTAGCAGACCTTCAAGCTGGTTATGGGAAAGGGAAAGTTGCTCAAGTAACGTCATGTTTGCGAACGAAATAGTGGGGAACCTTGCCGTTAAGAGATTATTTGACAGATCAAGTACTCTGAGAAAAGTTAGATTTCTGATACATGATGGGAGCACCCCAAAGAAAAAATTTCCGTTTAGATGCAATTCTCGAAGACTTGTCATATTGCAAACAGCTGTAAATGAAATGAACTGTGTGATGTCAGTACATGATTCCTACACATAGCTGCTCCTAATTCTAGGCTATGTTTGCGAGTACTCACTCCGTCCCACAATATAGCAACCTAGTACTAGACGGGATATCACCTAGTACTACGTATCTGGACAGGGGGCTTGTCCACATACGTAGTACTACGTTGCTATATTATGAGGTGGAGGAAGTACATACTAATCATTGGGAACTGGGAAGTCATACTAATGTTTCAAAATAGCATAAAGAGCAGAGTTAAGTAAGATTTCTTTGACATGACTATTTGAAAGAATACTCCCACAAGGCAGCAATTAAAAGTTTTTGCCCTTGGGACTTGGGAGCTTCTGGTTCTAAACTACTGAAGTTAAGCACACTGTGGTTTGGAGTTGGTGTATCTACTTTGTGATCACACTAAATTTGAATTATTTTATCGATTGAAGGAGAACAAGATATATTACTACCATAATAATCATGTACTTAAATTTGGTGCCCCAATGTAAAGTGTAAAGTTATTCACTTTTCCACCACACTCACATCGGTGTTCAAAGTTTGAACTTCAAACTGCATGCCATTAATTTGTAAGCGTGGCTGAGATTATTTTGAACAACGTAGAAACAGTTGTAAAATATTGGAACCATGACACGGTCATTTACTCATTTACTATTGCACCTTTATGCTTTCACAAAAACTTTAAATGAGATGCCATACCTCTTGATATGTTCCCGAAAATTCCATTCCAACTTAGATCAAGAATATCCAGCTTCATTTTGCTTAATCCTATAACATACAATAAATAAACCAAAATAAGAGATAAATTCCGAAATAAAAAATCTTTTGTCAGGAAAAAAACTAATATTGAAAATACAAGCATGTGTGATGCTTACTTTGGACAGTAAAGTCATTCTTTATGGCGTTCCCACCGAGGAATGGGGAACGCAGAGATGCAAGTCCAACCAAGGGCATGATACTACTATCATTCAACTCATTTTCAGATAGATCGAGGATTTCCAGTTGGCGTAAATTAGACCATACTTCAAAACCTGCAGCGAATGATGAAAAACACTATAAATATGAAAATTAGTAAAAATAAAGACTAATGCAACAGGAGTTATCCGACTGCGTGCATACGTATGCACCTACCTAGAGAAGGTCCAACAAAAGGACACCAAGGTGACCATTTTACCTAAGCATCACACACCCTAGGGAGCTCCCTGATCCCTTCCTCGGTGGGTCACAGGGACAAGGTGTTTACATCTAGCAAGACAACCTTGGTGTGGTGAAATCCAAGTTATTCTGAACAGAGACTTCTTAGTTGCTACAACTTGCGGCCCAACGATTGGTAAATCCGTAAATGAGTGATTTTAAAGTCGTTGAGAAGGTACCGAAAGATACCGTATTTTCTACTGTAAAATTTTGTACCTCTCAGTACCGGAGGTACGGAGGTACCAAATTTGCACTAAAAATTGTGGTACCTCTCAAGGATTGTAAAATTTCTCTTGGTAAATATATAATATCAATGTTCCTAAATGCCTTCTTCGATATGTGAAACAGCTTGAGGGAGGAGAAGGAAGGAAGACCTGCTGACCTGCACCAGGCATGCATCCCGCGATGCCGGCATTTCCCAAGGACAAATTCTGCAGCTCACGGAATGGAAGGAACATACTGCAGTTGAGTAGGCCATACCACGACGGATAAGCTGCATCAAGATCAAGGGCCGTGACACGCCCTGTGATGGAGCTGCAGGTCACCCTCTCCCACCGGCAGCAATCTCTGCTACTCCAGTCAGGCGGATTGCCAGCCGGCCAAAGGAACGCATCGCAAATGTCCATAAGATGTTTCCTCTCTTCGTGCAAACAACTGTCGCAGACCACCAAGGTCAGCAGAACCAAGCAACACCAAATGCAGGGGTTCCTCATGGCCACCACAATTCCCAATCCTCAAATACGCTAGCTCTCAAGAAATTTAACCCACAGGCACCGATTTTATACTGATGGTCTCGGTGCATCACACTCAATTACCACTACCAGCAGATTCCACACTCCCCATGGTGGCATCAAGCAGGTCGCTGATTTCGACGGTAATGACTGCCTACCTGAAATGAAAAGAAATCGGTGTCAGCATCGGCCTCGTGACTCGGCGTCAACCGTGAAGCTAGCCAGCCCGCGCACATTATCTCTTAGTAGAAGAAAAGCCTGAGATTTCTTTATTCCAGCAAGCGAGTGGGGCTTGGACTTGGAGTCTTGGATAAGTGGACTGCCGGCATGCTTGCTCCATGGTAGCAATGACTAAATCCACGAGAAAATAATAATAATAATAATAATAATAATAATAATAATAATAATAATAATAATAATAATAATATAAAAAAACAAAGTAGTTTCCTCGGAGATGGATCGGTCCTGGTCATCTGCAGACTGCTCACTTTTGGACCCAAAACCTCGCATTGGGGAATAGCAATCAGTCTGGTCATCCACCTTCATAAAAAAAAAAAAAGTCTGGTCATCCACTCAACCAGCCCGTTCTTGGGGGCAACCTGCAGGACCTTGCATCATCAGTAGGTCGAAGTTGCTGTGAACGGATTAATGGGGAATACAGAGCTTACTGCGTCGACGCCATCGTGGAAGGAATTGAAGAAATCGGCGCCAACGGGGAGGGTTGAGGCCGGCCAGGGGCACCGCGGGGCCCCCGCCGCCGGCAGCCAGGAATTGGCCTTCGATGCCATCGAGGAAGGAATTGAAGAAGTTGGCGCCGACGGGGAGGGGTCGCGGTCGATGCCGCCGCCGCCGGCAACCAGGGCAGCATCGGCATCGGCGTCGGCGTCGGCGTCGGCGTAGGGGTGGCGTTGTGAAGGCCCATCGTGTAGAGGCCTAATATTGAATAAGTCTATTTTGACTCCTTCAACTCTTGCCATTGCTCGAATCTCATCACTCAATGGCAAAATCGGTTATTAACCAAACCTCTTCCCCCACTTAAAGGGACTAATGCAAATTGACTCCTTCAATAGTTTGGGAAACGGTTTTTATTGGTGTCAAATTGACTGACACGGCAGCCTAGTCATTAGGACATTCACAATGTAGTGAAAAAGGTGAGTATTAGACATTAAAATATTCTTACTACTAAGTAAGATACATTGTGAAAGTAGTAAATAGCTACGACTAAACCATAAGCTTACTACCAAGTTATAAGTATTTTGTGGTGGGACCTACCTATTTTTTAATTGTGGCATGACTCATGTTTGTTTTTTTTTTAAATGGGCTCCACCTTATTACCCACTTTACACATATATATACATTGTGGTGTATCTTCAATCTACTACTACACTTGTATTGAGATGGAGAGAGTATTACCATCAATTCATCAAACATAGGCCCACCTTACTACCTACTTTTGTAATAAACATTGTTAATGCCCTTAAAGAATTTAAAATAGAAGTGGGTTCCATGTGCAAGTGACAAGGGTAAATATTAAAAAAATGCAGGTTCCACTTGTCAGCACTTCTCCTTCCTCCGGCAGAAATTCATCAAGAACCTGTAGAACATTTTGATTGTGTGCCGTGATATTGGACAATTGTTGGCCCGCCCAAAAAATATTGGGGAAATTTTGTACAAAAATGATTCCATCAAATGTTTGCTTGCCAAGCATATAACCGACGATGTATAATCCAGGTCTCCAGGATTAAAGATTGACAGTCCTCAAAGAAATGGCGTATTTCTATCATCTACAACTCTTCCTAACCATCTACAGTCCTCAAAAATCAGAAAAATACAAAGACTAATGCCTCGCACTGATCTTGCTAACAATCTCATCTTTTGCCAGCCGTATCAAAAACACCAGGGCAAGTGATATGGAAACAATCAGCATGAAAAATACGCTGTTCCATCCTCTTGTTGAAATATACCCAGTTAACAAGGGTCCCAAAGCCGCCCCAACAGAACCCGTGCCATCGATTATCGCAGACACTGTAGCCAAAGCTCTCGAGTTTCCCTTGATTGCATCCTGAGTACCAAGATCAGTAGCAACAGCTGTGGTGATGAGTGAGTATGGGCCATTCACAAAGTAGCCGGCGAGGAACATGAGCCCAATGTTGTGGTGCATGGATATGCTTCCATATGTCCGGTAAAGGATAAGCGCGGGGATTGAAAGAAAAAGGAACAGAGCTGATGTTACAGCACGAGCACCTATTTTGTCTGAGAGCAAACCAGCCGAAATGCCTCCCAAAACTCCTCCAATATCGAAAACAACAGACAAAATTCCTGAAGCCTTGTGTGATAAGAACTGACCTGCCACAGCTGCAAAATCAAACATAGGATGTTGAGTAAATAGAACATGCTCTTATGTTTGCTCTAAAATGATAGATATCTTACTCCAGACAACGAGAACAGAAATAATGCTACCAGAAATTCACAAAATCCTACAGATAGAAGACAAACTTTCATTTCATCATAGAAGGGCATAGTTATGCTTAATAAGCTAGATTAGCCACTTGCATCAAATTCTATTAGTTCTTTCATGCCTCTAGCTGGAAAGCTAGGTTGGTAATGCATAGTATTTTCAATCAACAACTAAATGGTGCTTCCACATGCAAAGATCCAGTATCCTCTAGATACCCTGTTCTTTTCAGCTTATTCACTGGATTATTGAAGCGGATTATTTGCTTCACGCTTCAAAAAGTAAGTTCTCACGAAAACTTATTCTACTGCATTGCTTAGAGCACTTGTTTTAAGCTATTTGATAAATTTATTTCTCAAAATATTTAATTTATCCCTATAATCAAGTAGATAATGCACAATAATAATTCACTCACTAATCTAAATCAAACAGGGGAACATAAACCACGGTCTCATAAATAGAACTTTTGTTTTTTGAATTCAATTGATGTATTGATGATGCTACATAACTATCTAATCATCCAACAAATTTGAATCAGGCCTAAAACCCAGCATCTTGAAACTTCTGGCATCAACATAATTCCAAGCCTCTAGAGTTTGACAGCAAAGTTAGGGCTCAGGATGCAAGGTTAACAAACTTGCAGCGCAGATAGTTGAGTTAAACCCATTGCTAGAGTGCTAGACAGTAGATACTATCAGTCTTCATTCGGTTAACGGTGATTATAAAAAACTAGCATCAAGCAATAAGATCATACTCTACTGATTCTCAACTGAAAAATTAAGAAATAGAATGTACTTGAAGCATATAGGACATACCATTGTGCCGGATATAGAACGGCAACCAGTAAAGGAAGGTATAAGCCACAAGCTTGGAGAAGAAGAGGCAGAATGCAAATGGCGCAACACCGGGCAATCTCCATGCCTCCAAGAACCCAATTGCCCTCGGCAATTCTGCTACCGCCTCCACCTCCAACACATCTTCATCCTCCTTCTTGTCCTCCCCAAGAAGCTCCACCTCCTCTCCACTCCCCCCATTCATCTCAACCTCAATTGCTTCAATGTCCAACCCGGCATCCATTGGGTGAGCGATCAAGAACACTAGCACCACGACGCCGAGCGCGGCAATGACAAACGCGGGCACCAAGAACGACCACCCCCACCCGAACTCGAGCACGGCGGCGGAGAGGACCGAGCCGGCGATGTTGCCGACGGAGGTGTGCGAGTTCCACACCCCCATGATGGTCCCGCGGCTGGACGCGTGGCCGAACCAGTTCCCGACGACGGCGACGACGCAGGGCCACCCGGCGGACTGGACGACGCCGCTGGCGACCTGCGCGGCGAGGAAGAAGGCGAGGCTATGCACGCCGAGGAAGTATGCCGCGCCGAGCGCCGCCGACGTGGCCCCGGAGGCGAGCATGGCGGCGGCGAGGAGGCCGCGGAGGTCGGCGCGGTCGGCGAGGTGGCCCGCGGCGAACATGGCGGCGGCGTAGGCGGAGAGGAAGGCGACGTCCAGCTCGCCGAGGCGGTGCGGGCCGCGGGGGCCCGAGAAGGGCGCCCAGTCGGCGGAGAGCACCGCCTTGACGATGCTGGGCGGCTTGCGGGACGCGTGGAACGAGGCGTACGCCGCGAAGGTGAGCCCCAACACCGCGTACTGGCGCGACCGGAGGCGGCCGCGCGCCGCGGCGGCGTGGGAAGCCGGCGCCGCGGCTTCCATTTTGGAGGCGACGCGAGAGCTTAGAGAGGAGGAGATGGGGGCGGAGGCATGGGAGGCGAAGGGGAGGGGAGATCTGGCAGGGGAGCGAGACGAGGAAGACGACCGGAAAAGGGTGAAGTGGAACACGGGAATTGACTTTCTGTTTGACCAGATTTGTATTTAAAAAAAAAATAAATTTCATAAAACAACAACATATATCTAAGGGCAAGTGTTATGATAGATGTAACTACCACATCTAAATTTATCCACATCATTCACTCATAAATTAAGAGGCAACATATACCATATGTCATCTTTAATACACAAATACCAATGTCTCTTATACTCTCACACCCTTTTTGAAATTTATGTGGAGGTTGCCTCTTCATTTAGGGGTGGTTCACCATGTCTCTCCTCACTTCTCTCCTTCACCTCAACACTCAATCCAATGTGGTACATTTAGGGGTAGCATACGGAGCATTATAATACTTGCCCCAACGCATTGTTTAGTTGGGAAAAATTTTTGGATTTGGTTGTCACATCGGATATACGGACACGTATTTGAAGTATTAAATATAGCCTAATACCAAAACAAATTATAGATTCCGCTGTGGAAACTGCAAGATGAATTTATTAAGCCTAATTAATTTGTCATTAGCAAATGTTTACTATAGCACCACATTGTCAAATCATGACGCAATTAGGCTTAAAAGATCCGTCTCACAATTTACACTCAATCTGTGTAATTGATTTTTTTTTTGCCAACATTTAATACTCCATGCATGTGTCCAAATATTCGATGTGACGGCATGAAAATTTTTGTTTTGGGAACTAAACAGGGTCTAAGTTTCACAAAACCACATGAACTTTGTCATATGGCACATAACCCTAGTTATTATGATCCTAACATTTCACAAAACCACATTAGTACACTTTTAAGTTCTACAATCATATATCAAATTTATAAGCATTTTATCCATAATATAAATGTTACATCCGCTTATTCTATTTTGATATAGGAGTATTTTAAAATGGTTAACTGTGTGGTTTCGTGAAACTTTAGGGCCATAATACCCGCCGTTATATGCTACGTGTCAAAATACCTGTTATTTTGTGCAACTTAGACCATAATATGCGGAGTAAAAAAATCATGAAGGAAAAATAGTTTTTCCTTCCTTCTAATAATCCATCTGGAAAATATTTTTTTCTTGTTTTAAGCTTCTTGTTTTAAGCCATAGTTAACTTTATTTGAGTCGCATTAATTTCCCTTGTTCATGGTAGAATTAAAATGTTTTCGTTGATTTAGGATAACGAGAGGTGAGCAGTAGTTCAGAACTCCAGACGACAGTATAAAGAAGCTATATTCCTTTTTATTTAGAGAATAAAAGAGACACAGTTACAATATTCATCAAACCTAATTATGCATTGGCAGTTGGCACAGGTGGACTCCAATTGGGAAAAAAAAAGCAACTACAGTGTTTGATTTTCTACTTGTCTCGTATAAAGATCAATCTATGCTTGACTTCACTGAAGGAGAAAATCAGAATGAAGTCAGGATTCAGGCTCCGAACCAGAACTCACCAGTTCTAACTCATCACTCACTTACATTGCAATAAACACTGAGTTTATTGATCGTAGTTTGTGTGTTTCAGACTTTCAGTTAAAGAAGGGGTTGCTTTGCACTAACTTGGTTTCTGTCTGCTGGAAAATTCAAGCAGAATTGAATGGTGTCAATGGCCCTGGATTAACTTGTACAGCTATATGCATCCCGCTTTGTCATCCACCCACTTCTAGGCTTGGCCAGTTATCATGCATTAACTTTGCTTGGAAAATTAGGCCCACACAATTGACGAACCAACCATCAGATTGTAACAAGGTGAATCAGCTATGCAGCTGCATAAGAATCCCAGTTGGGTATGTTGGCTGTTGCTTCATTAACCATTTTCACAAGTGTCACCTGTGGCCAACACAAATTCCATGATATGGATTAGTCACCATTCCAAAGAAAAAAAAGGATATATACAAAGCAAACAAGGGCTGTACTCTGTGCAGTATGCATTAGCTTGATGGAGAAGAATTATCAAGCAAGGTTATTCTAATGAAGTGATCTCAAGAAACCTGCAGCCGTTTCAGACAAGTAAAATACCTTTCATTTTATTCTGACAGGACATTCACAAATGCCAATGCATCATATTGAATTACTTGTTAATACCCATTACTGTCTCAATGCATCAATGATTCGCATTGCAACACTGGTATTTATATCAATTTAGCCCTTTTTTTCTATTTTGACTTCCATGTACTTGTATGGTGCATTGTCTTTCATAATCAAACTTTTTCTTGCAAGGTTGAATATACTAAAGAAGATATGGTTCACACAAAAAATAATCAAGCAGTACAAAAGATAATAAAATTAATGTCCATTTAAGAGACGAAGAAAGAAGGTACTCAAGATGCAAACTTAAGATTAGATATCTGCATAGAGAGCTGAACCATACCACGCTTTGAGGTACACCATTTGGAGGCAATGGCAAATTTCTAGGAGGAGGTTTACTATCATAGGATCTTTTGTCAAATCTCCATTCTCCAATTTTGCCATAAGTGAGTTTACCCTAGTGCACAAAAGATATGGTTAAAACAGGAAACTACCAGATACAGTTACTGAAACTCCACATCAAAAGGAGAACGATTACCTTCATATCATAGTCACACCCATAAGTATAATGTATGATAAATGCATCACCAATTTCCAAGTCCCATGGTGGCTAAAACAACAGGACAATATTATCAGCTCAGGAGAGGATTGCACACACTATCCAATACACATGATGACATGCTAATTAACTGAGCATCAGACCTGAATCATAAATTCCTTATGTAAGATGTTACCCACTCCATGGAGAGCGGATGCTACGGCATAAGCATACCTATTTTCCACAAATGAGACCACAGAAATATTAGATTTGGAATGCATAACAGAGCCAGGCTGAAAGCCTGGAAGGAATTGGGAACTAAGAAACTGAATGGCAGGAATTACATTTCAAGAACCCAGCCAAAAGCTTTATCTGTTTCAGGATCTTTCTTCATTGCTATTGAAATATTCATCCAAGTTGGAGCAATTCTTGCAAGAGATTCCTAGGAAATCAGGAAAAACATAAATCAATAAATTGCGTTGTTATGTGTAGGTGATCACAATATATCGCAGAGGGAAACAAATTACCTTTCTTGCGATGACAGGGGAATTTCCAATAGGATCAATTTTGGTTATTGGTCCTTCATGTTCAGGGAAGAACTTACGCAGCACATTTTCATATTTTTTGGGCTCAATGTAGAAGAAAGGGAAAGCTGCTGAACGACCATCCCTTGATAAATTCGGTATAGGTTTGACAATAAGATGATCTGGTTCTGCCATCAAGATATATCTGTAAAACATTATGAAAGTCAACTAAAGTATTGAAACTTTAGACTAAGCCGTGCTTCTCATATAAACCTACCAAACTTACTCTTCTTGTATGTCTGCCTTTTGAAGCCACTGAACAAATGCCCAAGGTCTATTGAGAACAACGTATCCCTGAGATGTAAGCATGAACTCCGTCAAGGACAAAAATTCAAACCAGCATCTACGGAACACTTCACCTCATAAAAGACAAAAACAATTGGAACAATAACATCCGTTTTAGTACTAAGTTTCTGCTAAATTATTGATTCATCAGCATGCTAGTTTTTTTTGGTTAAAAGATGGACAGGGTATAAGCTATATAGCCAGAACAGTTACGGTTAAATTTTTTCTCCTTCTTAATACATTCGGACAACCTCCTTCAGCCTTCCCGGCGAAAAAAAAGTTACGGTTAAATTTCAGCATAGGACACTACAATCAGACAGCTACAGCACACAGGATTATTAGCATATTATCTTGCTTTATACGTTATCATGATAAAAAAGGCAGGCACGAGATGGAACCAAATCATGCTTAAACCTTTTCATCACGTGAGATCCTAGCTGCAACTGCAAGTCTCAGTCTTTTTCCATCAACTGGGCCTTCCTTAGCACTCGCATTTCCACATGTTTGGTATACTGTATCCTCACAAGAAAAGGCTGAAATGTCTAATAGCGCTATTCAACTACTCTCATATATGGGGATTAGCTTGCGTGCACGGAATGAAATGTCAACAAAATTCACACAATGCCACATTGATTCCACATGATCCACAAATTCACGGAAGTCCACATGTTTGGAATTTCTCGATTTCAGTTACTAATTTCTATGAGGAACCCACATTTTTTCCAGAATTGCAACGAACAAGTAACGAAAGACCAAGAACGCAGCGATCAAATTGGTAGTAACAATCTGCAAGTTTCACCACCAACCAGCAGAGACGAACGCGGTACCTGATCCGTGCCAGCGGGGAGCGGGTCGGCGACGAAGGTGGGGATCTCGTCGACGAACGCGTCGGGCTTCCCGGAGTGGAGGATCCTGGTGAACCCGCCCATCTCGGCGCCTCCGCCGCCGCCGGCCTCACGCGCCCGCTTGAACCAGTAGTACATGACCCGGCACTGCCACGTGTTGTAGAGGGAGCCCGACGCGGTGACCGCGGTGTGGAACGCCGCCGCCGCCGTCGGGCGGCCCGAGGCGAGGCGGCGGGAGGCGGTGGCGCCGGGGAAGGAGGCGGTGGGGAGGGGGAGGAGGGAGCGGGAGGAGAGGAGCGCGGTGTAGGTGAGGTAGGCGGCGGAGAGGGAGATGAGGAGGAGCGGGAGGGCGCCGCGGCTGCCCCTGCACGGCGCGGCCATGGCGGTGGCGGAGGCGATGTGCGCGTGTGCCGCCGAGTGAACCTTTGAAGAACTTCGTAGTACTACTAGTCTAGTTCCCCTTTCTTTTTATTTTTTTCCTTAAAAAAATAATGATCGAACTAAAATTCACATAACACATCCTCACCAGCAACACGTCACTGATTGCACTAAAATCCTGTTAAAAACTACTCCCTCCATTCTAAAATGTTTGACGCCGTTAACTTTTTTAAAAATGTTTGACCGTTCGTCTTATTTAAAAAATTTAAGTAATTATTAATTCTTTTCGTATCATTTGATTTATTGTTAAATATACTTTCATGTATACATATAGTTTTACACATTTCATAAAAGTTTTTAAATAAGACGAACGGGTCAAACATGTTTAAAAAAGGTTAACGGTGTCAAACATTTAGGGAAGAAGGGAGTAACTTGCAAGTGTCTAATATTTGTGGGTACCACTGATGAATATAGTTTGTGTAGTTCAGTACTTTGACTATTAATTTCTTATAAAATATATGGAATTACATATCTATATTTTTTATCTAAAAATCACAAAAAAAAACTTTAAACAGGATGTTAGTCAACTCTCTACTGTTCACTTATTATCAAACTAAATTGCTGGTATTTGTTTAGCTTAGTTGGAAGCATCCCCCGTCTCTCTTATGAGCTCATTGCTTTTACCATGACCTCAGTTGCGGCCTCCCTATTCCCTAATGCTATATTCGATTGTACCAGTCACTTCCGCATGGAAAAAGGGTGGCTGAATTAATATGATTTTTTCAAGTGGTTTTTCCATATATTTCTTTTTCTTTTTTGCAAAAACACATGGTAGCTCGGAAAATGTGTGTGTAAAAAATGAGGGATTATAAGATGAGAAGGGGAGAAACGAACTCAGCCTAAGCCCCAATCATCGGAACAGTAGTTTATTTATTTAGCAACAGTGTTCTAACAGTAATTTATTTAGTAGAAGTAAGAGCAGCTCCAGTGTATGTGTAAAATTGAACGGACAACCGAACACAACACATTGGAGCAATCCACACTTATGTGTCAAGGAAAACAATTGACCTCCAAAAAGGAGTTAAACTCAACGATTAAAAAATAGTCATGGTCCGTGCGAGAAAGGATGGACATTGATGATTGTTCAATGCAGATGATCTACATTATTTTGCATTGGCTCATATTTTGAGCCATTGGATCTCCATCGAACGTCACATACTAGTTGCTACAGTACCATACTATAGCAAAAAAAATCATTTAACAGAAAAACAAATTACTGTTAGAACACTGTTGCTCGTGGATTTAAATTTGTGCCCATCCCTACCATTTTCCTTCTCAAGCTTGTCCCACCACATTCTTCCTCGAGCTATAAAATCAATATTGTGTAACAAAAAGTCCTTCAAAAAATATTGTGTAAAATAATTTTAGGTTGAATAATTGTGTAAAAGCACCTTTAAAATATGAATCATTTGCTATGATTTTATTTTTAATTTTCTGAAATAAAAATGCGCAAAGAAGATGAGTACGCTCGGAGTTTTACTTGGTTATAGTGAGCCTTGAAAAAAAAAACTAAGACAGTTTATTTCACACGTTTGGGTCTTCTATTTTTCTGTCATATATGGCTAGGTGGGAAAGCAACTTCTCTAATGTGAAATAAGAGAAACGTGAGTCCCATCGGTATAGATGGCCAAAAGGCCCGAGGCCCGATGGCCCGGCCCACGGCACAACATTTTGGCCCGGTCCAAGCACGGCACGGCCCGACAGGGGTCGGGTCTGTGCCGATCCGGCCCGACCATCGGGCCGTGCTTGGGCCCCTCCACCGGCACGTTGGGCCGGCCCGGCACGGCACGATACATAAACAACAGGGAGTAAAAATAAACATATTATATGACACAGTAGAAAGAATAGGGACGTAAAATAGACTTATTTAGCTATATATATATATATATATATATATATATATATATATATATATATATATATATATATATATATATAACCCAAAGAGGAGGGAAGGAAAATATACTTATTTAAAAAAGACACGATGGGCCACCCGTACCTTCGGGCCGGCCCGGCACGGCCCAACTACCTATGGGCCATGCCTGGGCGGGAGGCACAACCTATGAGCCGGCCCCGCCCAGCACGAAGTGCCGATCGGACCGTGCCGGCCCAATGGCTGGTGGGCCGGGCCGTTTGGCCATCTATACCCATCGGGCTTGGTGTTTGAATTGTCCCTGTGAGAGAATCAGTGATCTCTCTGCTCCCATATGGCTCTTGTTGCCTGATTGATCGCTCACACACAAAAAAAAAAAATTCCACGTCAATATATTAGAAGAAAAAGAGACCACAAGCAGTCAAGCACATTGCACATGAAAACTTTTGTTAGACAAGAACACACATAAAACAACAACTTAACTAATATTGTTCCAGCTTCAATCAATAATCAAACGTCATCATCCCAAGCTGAATGGAGAGGAGAGAAAAAGAGAAGACTGAGAAAATACACAAAACGAGGTGAGCCATTAGCGCATGATTAATTAAGTATTAAACTATTTTAAACTTCAAAAATAGATTAATATGATTTTTTTAAACAACTTTCATAGAGAAATCTTTTTTTTTTAAATAGCACACACCGTTTAATAGTTCGGGAAGAGCACGCGTGGAAAACGAAACAAACTTTCTAACAATGTCCTGCTGCCGAATAACTTAAATCGCGGCCATCCATCCATGAAAACTGTAAACACTGATTATTTCTCCTTGACGAACATTAATTATTACATGATGTCCAAATTAAGATGGAAGAAAGTAACGTCGAATTGAATTGACACGCACGCACGAACGAACACACTACGGAGACGAACAGCAACAGAGGAGTCATTGCCTCATCACTCATCACCCAGGAAGAAGGCTAGTTTGATGTCGGTTAATTAACCGAGCCAACTAACTCCGATCCTAGCTCGCCGGCGGCGGCCTTGTCGGATAGCCCGTAGAGCTGAAAAACTGGCCATCCTGCTCCGGCGGCGGAGGCGGCGAAATAGATTCTATCCCACCGTCGTTCGACGTCGGCGGCGGCGGCGTCCGGTGTAGACCCACCCGCCGCAAAGACCGTCTTTGGGCCGCTTTCTCGCCTCCGCCGCCGCCTGTATCAGCCGCCACAACACCAGCCCAGATCGCCGAACCACCGCCGTTATCTTCACCAGCTGCCGCACCTGAAACATCGTTTAGTACAGGTGAGGTGGTGCAAGTGACTAACCCGTAGCTATAAGTGGGTTCACGGGTTAGTCAATATGACTAACCTGATGGTGGTGGTGGTGGCGGTGGCGGTGGAGGTGACGACGAGCTGCTGGTCGGAGAGCTCTGCAGGAGGAAGAGCGCGGCTACGAGCAGCCAAGCTAACGACAACAACGGGCGGAGATGCATGGCGACCGACGACGCCCAGCTACCTATCTCCTACGTTGTCGATCGTCAGACGGTCTGAACGAATGAGCACGACGTGAGCTAGTGATGACAGTGCTAGCGTACGTCAGTGATTGGAATTGCCGTTGAATATATATACACTCTGTCGAGGTTAATTATATGCGCTACTAGCTAGTAATACTTGGTTGATATTGACTCAGTCCCTTGGATCCATCGGTTGACTTGGAGAGATTGATACTCCCTCCGTTTTTTAATAGATGACGCCGTTAACTTTTTCTCACATGTTTAACCATTCGTCTTATTCAAAAATTTTATGCAAATGTATAAGATATAAATCACACTTAAAATATTATGAGTGATAAAATAACTTATAACAAAATAAATTATAATAACATAAATTTTTTTTAATAAGATGAATAGTCAAACATGTGAGAAAAAGTCAACGGCGTCATCTATTAAAAAACAGAGGTAATATATAAATAGTCGTCTCCAGGCAAGCTGCTAGCACCTTGTGACCAACATGTGCACCTCGTGGAAGCGTAACCCGGCCAGCTAGATCTCTCTCAAGCTCGCCGTTGAAGGGGAGGAGGAAGAAGATGCAGATCTCCATCCTAAAAGTTATGCCGATGCGTCTGATGAGCAAGCCTTAACGGAGAGATATTTAACTATTTTTGTTACTTTTACATACAGCTTTTAACGATTTATCGTCTGAACTCACATGTCATAAACTTATAAATACCTATATGTCATAGTATACTATTGTTAAACATTAAATCTAAAAGTGACAAATAGTTAAATGGCTACTGAAACGGACGCCTAAGCGACGGTTCTAGCCTTCAGCCCTTAACACACACAAATCAATGGAGGGTTGAGCTATACAGAAATTATTACTACATGGACTATTTTGGAAATAACCAAGATAGCCAACAGTAATTGCTCAAAATAAGAGGGTATTTTGCATACATCTGTTTCGCTACCAATAACGTTTTTTTTTCTATATATTTGTGGACTTCCGGAGATAATTAATTTGCCCAAAATTGGCAGTTTCATAGATAATCACCACATCAATAGATCCATATAAGCAGTGGCGGAGGATGAACAAAATAGGAGGAGGTACGACCCATGTTTAAAAATAGTGTGCTTGTATATGTTGTATTGCCTCAAGTCCTCAAATACAGAAAGTGAGATGATGCAGACGGTTCGATATGAGAAGAAAACTATTGTATATTGCTGGTTTCTCTGCTTCTCGCAGGATAACACGTAGGAGTATGATACGAAGAACATGGAAAGTAGGGGGAAACTCTTTTACTCACTCGAGTAGATATGCACCCGTTTATTGTATGTCATCTAAATAATTATGAAAAAAATTAAAAAAATTAAAAAAATATGTAAATCTTCTACAAATTGTAGCAAAAATAACAAATAAAACTCAAATTAGTATATATATATATATATATATATATATATATATATATATATATATATTTCCAATTAAATTTGTTATTTTTGCTACAATTTGTAGAAGTTGAATTTGAACTTGCGTGTTTGTGGAGTGATATATTGCATATTAATCTATCTTGTCAAAAAAAATTTAAAATTTTTTCATAACCATTTAGTTGACATGCAATAAATGGGTGGACGTCCACTCGAGTGATTAGAATCCGTCTCCGTGGAATGAGACATTCAAAACTGTTTAGTAAATGAACCTACAACTTCCTTTGCTTCTAAAACCTAGGCGAGGACACTGCAGTATCTCTGCATCTTCTGCTCGGCTTGTTTGGCAACTCGAGGAAGGGGAATGGGAGTTTACATGAGGAAATTAATGGTGAGATTAAGATGGGAATTTGATTTTTAATCCCAATATCTTGTTTGGTAGAGAGGTAGAATTTGATAGGGAGTTTAGTTGGAGATTAGGCCATTAATGAAAAATAGATGGTTGAGGTTTGTTTAGGTGGAGTAAAGGAGTAATTTCCTTCCAATTACCACGCCCTACCCAAGGATTGAAAATGAGGGAGTTTTTTTTCCTCAATTATTTACCCTATCCCACCAAAATTCCCACGTCTAAACGGTTAATAGTCTCGTATATGTAAACTCCCAATCCCTTCTAAACCCCCCACCCCCCCCCCCCCCCCCCCCCCCAAAAAAAAAGGCCGTGTGCCCCGTGGTCCTACTCGATCGGCATATCCCCATATTAACACAACTACAAGCAGAATGGACCTAGGGTGGGAACTTGTGGCCCAGCAGCAAACGCCGCTTGCTTTCTCTCGCGCTCATATATTTTCTCAAGTTCAAAGCGTCGGCATAGTGCGCTGGTGCCGTCGTGCCGGTGGACGGGGACAAGGGAGTCATGTCAGGGGTAAGGGGTAGGCTCACGCCAGACCTCGCTCTACCGAGTCCTCTGTTGCTACATAAAAGGTGAAAGATGAAGTTCTACATATTTTAGATTTGGATTCGATTATCTTGACAGCATCAACTTTAAACGGGCGTAGCCGCTGATTTCAGGAGGACTATACTCTCGGGGTTTATTAATACTTCTTAGAAAGGTTGTGGAATGTGGAGTCTATATTTAGATGGTTTGTGTCCCACGTTAAAATTTCTGCTAAGTTGTCGGAAATCTGCAAAACAAGTCAACAACCTCCAAACAAGACCCTGAAACAAAAATGATGGATTCTTCTTCCTCGAGTGACATTTTTTCACGGAGTTCAGAGTTGAGACACACACGAACATACACAATATACTCACGTGAAGAGTAATAACACTTGGATATAAATTATCTATAAATTATTTTTTAGAACAGCTCAACCGATCCGAGCCGGCGGGGACACCGGCATCGCGTTCGCCTTCATCCTGTTCGGAATCGGCGCCGGCGGCATCGGCTTCGTCGCCCTCAGCCCCAGCGACCGTCTCGCCGTCGCCGCAGCCTTCTCGCCGCCGCCGTGGTACTCTCTCACGACATCGCCGGCGCCGGCCCAGGCCTTGGAGTCGCCTCCATCTGCACCACCTGCGCAATCCCACACGTACGGCCGATCGATCAGCTAGCAGACGGCGGAGATGGCGCAAAATGTATCACCTACCTAGCAGACGCGACGACGACGACGAGGAGCAGGTCAAGGAGCCGGCCATGAGCAGCGCGGCGACGAGCAGCCAAGCTAGCAACGCCCTGAGATGCATGGCGGCGGCGGCGGCGGCGGCTTGCTTCCGAAGTCTCAACGGAGGAAGATAGACGACGAGGACGCAGTGGCTCTTGTCAATCGTCGTCAACCTCTCTGGTCGATATATATACACTACGCTTCGGCGACAATGGCGCGATTATTAGACGGTTAAGAATAATCGATGAGCAGATTAGCATCAACAGCTGTAACCGCAGTTAATGCAGTATATATTAATGGCAGTTCGTGCACAATTTTTCAGTCGAGATTAGCTCGATCAGTTTCATGATGCTGGATTCATCAGTTAACTTTGAGATTTCTTAATCCCATCCCTCGCCGCCTCGACCTTGAATTAGAAGCATATAAAAAATGGCTTCACCACTGGAGACTAGCTAGCAGCATCGATCGATCCCACGGCTGGTAGCAACGTACGCACAAGCATATAGACAAGTACATCCATGGATGATTGTCCAAGCTTCACGAGTAAGGGGTTGTTTTAATTGTTTGATTGCTATAAGTCGTCGCACTTTGTCACATCTGTAGTTAGATAAATTTGACCATGTTTAACGTGTGTTTGGTTGGTTGTATCAAATATGGCAAGATTTCATTTTTCACAATGTAGGTCTCACGTATTAATGACCATAAAATGTATGGTATAGCTTCATTTTGTGGGTTAAAATGTGGTTTTTGACCATCTCACCTTTAACAAGCTAGACAAAGAAAGTAGGGATTACCTTAGAGCATGAATCAAACTGCTCATTAGTAAATTAGAGCAAGTTTAATAGTATAGTTAACTACTGGCTCTAAATCATCTATAGTCAATTTAATAGCCAATTCATATAATATATAATTACTTATAACATATAGTACACAATTAATATCTGGTCCCACTTATCATACACACATGCATCTTGTAGTCCATGCTGCAGCTGGCTACAAATCTATAGCCCGTTGCTCTTCTCTCTCCTCTTTTATCTACTTAAAATGTGTTTATAGCTGGTTTATAGTCTGCTATTGTACCTGCTCTTAGGCGACTGTATAGCCACGGATACAAAGATTCATGCAGCTACAATACTAACCCACAGTCTTATCCTTTTCTTTCCTCCATTTGTTCACCACGCAACGAGCGACCAAAGATTCGCTCGAGCCGCCTCCTCCCTGTCCCCTAGGTTCGCCGACTCCGGAAAGCCAAGAACATAGCCTGAAGAACTCTTATAAAGACTACTCTCGCATTATATAAAATCCACTCTAAAGTTTTAAAACCCCTCCTTATAGCTATATTGTGAATGTCCTTATTGAATCTTCATAGTTAGTCTCTACTACTACTAGCTCAACATTGAGTGAACAATGTATGAGGCTGGTTGTTATTTCCATTATTAAAAAAAATGACCATCCAATCATCTATGGGCCCTATGTAATTAGGGAGCTTTTAACAATTGTAATTTCTTTCATAATCTCTAGCTCCCTAAATAAAATTCTCATGTTTCGATAATCTATACCTATACCTATGGAATGTCGAAAATTGGCCCTTTTCAGATTTATATAAGGCGACAGAATCTTGAGCTGTCCAAACAAGGGCGATGGAACAGAATTCTTTCCTCGGTGACATTTTTACAAGGACTTCAGAGTTCAACACACACACGAACATAAGTCGAATCGACACACAAGTACACAACATATGTACATAGACGATGAACAACGACAGACGAGGTTCAGCAATGGCAGTGCAGACAACGGAGTTGGGATCGATCGATTAATATGGCGATTAACCAAAGGCAACGATACTACACCGCCGGCGGCGAGCCGGGCACCGGCATCACGTACGACTTCGTCTTGTTCGGTAACGGCGCCGGCGGCGCCGGCGGCGTCCTCGACCCCAGCGACCTCCTCGCCGCACTAACCAGCTTCTCGCCGCCGACGCCGTCTGAACCAGCAGCTGCAATTGATCGCAACACGCACGTTAGCATC